GTCTACAGAGCAAGTGTCAAAAAGCAATCTCTTCTGTTGTTAGCGAAGCACTTTATTTCTTTACTACTTTGACTTCCTCCATTCAGAACCTTATATGAGTGATATATGCAAACCTTACAGAGGTCTAGACATATTATTATAGAGATGAAAGCAACAGAGAGGACGTTAGCAGGCTGAACTGACAAAATTGCATAAGTAGTGGTTTAACAAAGAAATATTATTGCTAAAATTATGTGGTTCTTAACAAACAGCAGCGTATGCGCATGTGCAATATAATGTTTATCATGTATCGCCATATCGAGATAATATCATGAGCCATTTTGTATCGTATCGTGAGGGACCCTGTGATTCCCAGTCCTAATTCAGTGTTTCAATATTCTTGTCAAGCGAATGAACAAATTAATGAATAAATAAACAAATAAACAAATACATAGCATATTTTTCCCTAATATCCTACAATATTTGTTTATGAATCCACCATGTGAATACTTCCAGTGCAAATACACAGACAGTATATAAAATATTATGGGGGGCACAACTCCACTGACGGGCTGAGCTCTGATGATCATGTGCTGTCTATTATATAGTGACTCTGCTTCCTCAGAGAGAGACAATGGCTGTCAGACACTGAGCCAGTGGGCTGCAGTGATCTACGGCCTGCTTAGATCCTCATTTCCCAGAGTTCATTGCTCTCCTCCATCAAGCAGCAGGCAGAGCGCCAAGCCTCTGCTCCCTGCTCACTGGTGGTCTAACTCATCCTCACTTCGGAAGGTAACGTCTGCTTCTGAGTTCTATGTATTTCTATCATTTTCAACTTTTGTGCAATGGGAAATATATCTTATTCTAAAGAGAAATGTGCAAATTGGGAATAATTGAGGGATGATATTTCAATCCTGGGTAACATTTTAGTTTTAACTAACTGCTAATTTGCATATTCATTGTGATTCATTCAATGCCCTTATTAACATCTTATTCTGCATAAACGTATTCCTGTTTGTTTATCCCCTCATCATGGAGACTGTGCAAGAGGACAGCTAAGGAGCTAGCTATGGACTTTTGAGATGTTACTCTGATACCTTCCAGAAGAAATAATATGAGGGAATTAACAATTTCATCACCAACTGAAACACCAAAGTTAAGTAAGAGTGAGGCCTTTCCTCTTGTGTTAACCTGGATCTGCTGACCCAACCAGGCCTGCTGTTAAACTGCACTGAGACCTCTGACTAAGACACAAAGGCAACTTACAATCAAGCATAGGATCATAATTCATCAAGCGGATCAATTGGACTCAGAAGTAGCTAAAGTAAGACTGATGACATCATCCCTTAACAGCCCCATCAGCAGCAGAATAAGGTTATGCCGAATCATTAACATTAAATTAACCACATTTAGCTAGTCAGATGTCACTAAGAATGCTCAAAATAAAGTGTTACCCAAAAGCCTCTCTTTGACTTACTGACTGCACTTGTCTGCATTTTGCATCAGTGTCTAATCTGACATTTAAATAACCCATGTTTCTCGAGCAGATGGTGATGGAGGGAGACTGTTTTTGGATCTGGCTGCTCCGCGGGGCAGGTGGAGCAGGTGTGGAGATGAGCCTCCTCACTCACTTCACTACATCCAGCTGTGCATTTGTATCCTTACACCCAAACACCTCCAAAACCCCACAGATGGCCTGCTGCTGCCGATGACAAATGTGCTTTACTTTTCTGAAGGGGATGTGCTCACTGTGATGGGAATAGCAATGACACAATTAGGTCTGAAGAAGAAAGCCAGCATGATGGACAGGCAAATGAAACAATTAATTGCCTCGGCCTTGTTCCGGGGCACTGATTCCCAAGTTAGGAAATCATCCATTCAAAGACCTTCGAAAGCCAATAAAATGTGCCGATGGAAAAAAAAAATATTCTGTGCATTCAGCTGCCAATACTGTCTCCATTCATTAAGATATTGATGCAAGTAAGCTATTAAAGTGACAATATTACGGAACATCATTATCAGATTTGACAAAAAAAATTCTTCAAACCAGCCCTCAATGGAATATATGTAAATTAGCACTAACAAGGTCATTGAAATGCATGATGACAGTATTTCAACACTCAAAAGTATGCTATAACATTATTCAGTATCTTTTCAACAATTGCTATAAGAGTCAGTTAGAATCCATAGCATTATTGTACATGTCACATTACATCTAGTGTATTCTGCACATAGTCATTGGCTTTGTCTGTTGTCATTGTCCCTTTGTCTGTTACCTGACCAGTCAGAGGCTTAAAGAAGATATATATTTTGTATTGAAGATGAGATTCAAGAGATGTCTTCCGCAAATGAGTGGCTGTGGTTAAATTGTCTTAAGTTTGGATGGAGGTTTTTCAAGCTCTCCTCTCAGATTCCAGATCCTTCTGGATTCAAACAGAATGTAGAAGGAACTGACTGGTACAGTATGTCTGGGCTTCAACTTTAAATATGAAAATTGTGCAACATATGATATTATTTTCTCTTTTGGGACAATAATGTCTACAAACACTGTCCAACATGCATAATTACTAAATAAAAACTAGGCTCAGCAATATACATTTAACAATAAAGTAAAGTGACATATTGTTTATTTGTTGTATTGGGGTAAAAGTTTTGTTGTGCAGTAGAGCACCCATGTGAGAAGGAAACTGCTGAGTATGGGAGCTCACTGCAGCTGATTTAAATGGCTGAATGTTTGGGCCTTGAGAAGCTGATGGAGTAAGAGGGCTAAGGATTACAATAATCTGACACCTGATTATACACTGCACTGTGTGTCCTCTGGGGTGATGCACTACCTGACCCTGCAAAATTCAACTATAAATCACAGGATCATCACAGCTAGCTCTCAAACTGACTGGAAAAGTTTCAAGCAGGTCTGTGGTACTGTATACTTCGTACTCATACTTACTTTAGATCCTTCTGAATCTATTTTTATTTCATCTTGACTGATATTTATTCTGTTAAATGTTATCATATAAATTATCTTATCCATGTGCAGTGCTTCCCTATTTTATACACAGAAATTTGAAGTTGATAGTAGTAGAGCAATTAAGTAATTCTTGTTGCTCCTGCTTTGATAAAAAAAAAAAAAATCCCCCCAATTTTGAGATTTTACATATAACATATAATAAGAACAAAATACAAACAGACAAACAAAAGAAAAAACTAAACAAAACAAACAAACAAACAAACAAACAAAAAAAAAGAACAAAAAACACACACATACACTGAAAAAACAAACTCACTCAAGTCCAATCTTGTCAAAATATTTTAAAAAGTTTCCATATCTCACAATTTAAAATGTTTATGTCTCATGTTGCTACAGGAAAAAAGTTTTTTTTGTCATACATATCCATTGTAAAAGCTTGGGTATCCAAGCAGTAGTTCAAAAAGCTGGAACAATGCAAAGATCTATAGGTAGCAGGCATCCTGGGCAGGTAGTGCTGAATGTAGCCTGTCACATCGGCTTTTCATTGGGCCTCATTACGGAGTTGTTGTAAGCCACATTAGAAGCCTTGGTGACAAATGACTTAATGAGCTACACAGGGAGTCCTAATTATTCCACAATTAGAAGTGTAATTATGGGCTGCTCCAGTGGCTTGATTGCTCGCCGGCAGCAGTGTGAAAAAGCACAGTCATGAAAGGTAGATTGAGTCTTTCAATCCTTTTCTTTGGGTGAAATCTTGAAATTCCTCTGCAGATGGAAAAGACCTATTCAAGTAGTATGTCGAAAATAAATAAGTCTAAAATGAGCCAAAGATTCAAAATGTATTTCCATGTGTGAACTGTGATATGGTTTGACTACAACTAGGATGACCTCACTCTGTAGAAAAAGATGGACATGTAGTTGTGTGTAGTGTTAAATATTAACTGTAATAACACCATACGATGTTTTGTTTTTCTATGGTAAAACACTGAGAGACTTTGCAATAAAACCATGAAGTGCCTACATATTCCAAGCCATCAAAAAGGTTAGATTTCTTTGCAAGAAAAAAAATTTATCTTTGTGAATCTAGCTTTTTATACAATCCATGAGACATCACTAAAAAAGATAATAAATATTATTAAATTTAAATATGTGCGGGACAAAAAAAAGGGACATGTGGTCAACAAAAACTGCTACTATTCTCAGAACAATAACTGATGTTTTTTCAAAAACATTTTATCTGCACCTTGCCTAAGAGTATTCAGTATGTGACAAAGCAGGTGAATCTGTCCCATTTATCTGTTTTCGGGGGAATTATCGTCCAAATCTCCATGGCGTCTGGGCTCCTGAATTTCTGTCCACTGCCTGGAGTCTACAGCACTGAGGTGGGATAACACTTTTAGATTTCTGGCATGCACTTTTGGTAAGGTTCCTTCACACAGCCCTGGAGTTGATTGCTGGCGTGTAATTGTGTTTCTCAAAGCATTTCAGTGTGGAATTAGTGTTGATTAGCTCTGTAAGTGAATGCTCTGTAGGCAGTGTGTGGAAACGCTTATCAAGTCACACATCATGGGCTGCATTCACACTTATGTGCTAAATTAAAACTAAACAGGGACTGAAATCTGAATTAAACTGGGACTAAACATAAGACTAAACTCAGTCTAAAATAATCTACATCAAACGTAAACTAGGATCAAGCAAGGGAACCAAACTGGACAAGTGTGAATGCGACTAGAGAGCAGAGAATTAAATATCTGAAATTATGATCCATAATAACCAATTACCAATATTTGTCACAGTTGGCTCTGTACACTTGTCCTTTTATCTTAAAGTGATTGTTGACAAACTGACAACAATCATCAATAATTACAGAGACATTAACCATAAACCAGGCAAAATTGACATATAAAGAGCACATTCCCCCATAGAAGATTGTTTCAACAGATCTTGGAGCTAATGCTCAGGGTATCATAAGGTTTTTGTTTAATTCACTGAAAACATTTACAAGACATAGTAAAAATAAATACGAATTATTATATTATTATAGTATGCTTCCTGTATAAAACAACTTAAAAATGCATTTTTACTCACAATGAAAAAGTCATATTCCAAACAGCGTCACTATTGTTCCTCTGTTTACAGGGTCAGTCATAACAAGCCAAGGTCAACAACTGTGTGTGTTGTATTTTACTGGGACCACAGATCCCTGTGGGCCCGATTCATCTCCTATGCGTGGGGCCTCAGGTGCACAACATGGACCTTAAGGCAGCCATCATTGTTCTATTATTTTAGAGTATTCAGCTAAATGCCCAATGTTTCTACTATACTTGTTTGCCTGAGCCTCTTTCTCTGTGTGCCTGGTCAAATATATTCAAATTTGCACTAGCCACTGTGAGTCATTTGAATTGAGGGACAAGTGAGCGCATTGCTGATGGCTGCAGGGTTAGTGCATGTGTGTATTGCTCATGGGCAGGCATTTGCACTGTAGTGACAGATGAAAGCTGAGGGGCAGAGCTTGCTGCGACCATGCCAGACTGGCAGCCTCTCCTGCTATGTGCTATCCACTCCCTTTCAGAAACTGATGCATGTTTAAGGAATCACCATCAGTGTTGGTGAATTGCTGACAAATTTGTTTTTGTAAGAATGGTATAAACATTGCTGCAAACAATACTCAGGATAATGCAATGTGTATTAGGCAAACAAATATGTATGTGGACAATTTTTTATTCTTTTTTCAAAATCCACTATGAAGGCACCACTCAAAGTAAGTTATAAAAGACACCAACTGAACTGACAAATAAAATCATCCAGTGAGGATAAGTTTTGATCAGACTTTTAATTGGACTTCACATAAATAACATTGTTTCATTAATATTTTGTATAGAATACAATTTTATATAATATATATTTTCCCCTCATAATTTACATCCTTCTCTGGCTTAAATTCTCTTTTTATATACTCGTATATGGAAACATTAAGCCTTGCCTCAGAGCAAAGCTGCTCTTTTGTGCTGTTCATCAAGGTCCAAACGGCTAAAGAAGAGGCGGTTTCCCTTGGTTGTCATAAAAAATAATCTCCCAGTTACACCAACCAAAAAGAAAAAAAAACTGTATTGCATTGTCTCTAGGGTTCACACTGCACTACAAGGAGGAGTGGAAACCTACTGAAGTTCATTCATTGTATATATTTGAGATGGGACACAGAGGAGAACACGGCAAATCTAATATGAATGGCAGTGAAGACTGTGTGACTTAGATGTATCAAATTATATTTTTTTGAGGAAAAATGAACTAAATACCTTGTCTGTAGGTAGACTATTTTAAGGATGATGACAAAGTCATAAATCCGCAGCAAGGTCAGAAAATCATGCAGTGACCCGCCCAAGCATGCCTACACAGATGAGTTGAGCTTGTCAGTCCACATTGCAAATCAACACGCTGCCAATTGGAGCCTCTGACCAATGTTATTTAACAACATGGCCAAATATCTGGATGTCAGGAAGAATTTTCTAATCTTTTTAACAGAAGAAAAAGAAAATATGTTCTCTTTTTCCCAAAGTCCCCAATGTGTTTACTTACTTACTTAGGTGATCCTTTCAAAATAGCCAACACTGAAAGCTTCATAAGAGATACACTGCAAAGCAGATGCTGCCAAACATTTCAGACAACTCTGTTAATAAGTCTGGAAGTTGAAATCCAACTGAAATGTTAATGTTTTAGTGCACAAACTCCAGTGTATTTAATATGCATCAAAACTCTGCACTAAAACCTTGAACATTTGATTGTCTATGTCAGAGCTTTACCTGAATATCACTACACAAGGTGTTCATTTAAAGCCCACTTAATCATATTTTAAAAGAATGCTTGAACCAAGATTGAAGACAAACCTAAATGATATGTTCCAGTCTACACATAGAGTAATGACCTGCAAAAGGGATCATAAAATGTTTCATGCATTTACATAAGACAAGCAAATCAAATGTGTGTGAGGACGAAGCACAGAGGGACACTTCAGCATGCTATGACACAGTGACAGTTAGTGACTGACAAAAAAAAATTAAAAAGTCTTTTTTTTCATCAAGATTCAAAACATCATATCCCTTTTTAAGAATGCAGAAAGAGCAATTAGAAAGCAAAGAAAATAGTATTATTGCAATAGACTTTATTATGGTTATAAGTAACCATAATTCATATTTATTCAAGTGGTGGGTGAACACAATGAGCAGTCATGCCAGTAGCCCTCGTTCATTAAACAACACCTTCTCATGTGTTCATAAAAGTGCATCACAAATATTGTTGTGACCAGTAATAAAGGTAAACCTAAATTTTGTCTTAAATAACACATTTTACCTTAATATTCAATAAACGTCTTATTATACAAGTTGAGTAGTCACATGATGCAAATCTCCCATTATCAGGGAACAACTTTCAGCTTCCTCAAAGTTGGAAGTTTCAGTAAAAACCTTTACAAGTGGGATCAAATCTTGAGGAAGATTATTGAAGGACAACCAGCTTGACTGATACAGGAGTAAAGCTAAGATAAAAAAAAAAACTGTCCACCACATGGTGAAGGCAAAAGTCCAGTATCCAACTGTGGACTGTATGGAGGCACATCCACAATTAACTGGTAAACTTAGATAATCATATTTATTTTGTATGTAATTAATGTTATTTGGGCTATGTTTATGGCAGAACAAAGCTCTAAATAAAATCAAACTTCGATAAAGTCTAAGGTCATAAAACCATCCTACTCATATCCTCACTCATGAACTAAAGCATTGGCTGGACGCAAACCAAAACAGAAAAGCGGTGTGCATATTCCCAGCACTTCCTTTCTCCCACTTGTGTCCACTTTGCTGAGCAAGAGCACAGTCTCTTTAGTTCTTCTTAACCTTTGACCTCCAGCCCGGGTGCCCTTTTCCAGACGTCCACTGTACTTTCTCTCAGTGACAATTCTTCATCCCGGTCAAGTAGGGCGACTCCTGCCTGCACAGCCCCATCTGTTGTTGCTGCTCTTGGTGGTCCAAAGAGTTTCCCTCCACAAAATCTGGCACGGGGAGTCCTGAGAGGATCATGACCGACTTGTTCCAAATCATGAAGGTGGGCACGACGGGCAGCAGGAAGGAGATCTCAAAGGTGTGTATGTGCTGTGAGCTCATAGCGTCGTAGAAAGACAGTGAGTTATTATCATAGTCCAGGAGCACGCCCAGCCTCCTCAGCTGCAGGCTCGCTTCCACCAGCATCTCCTTTCCGTCATGCCGCACCATGAAGTTATTGTTGCAGCGCGAGAACACCCAAGAGGAAGAGTTTTTGCCGCTCCACTCGTTTTTCGGGGCTGATTTGTAGGCGACGCCGATGGCATACCTGCAGGGAGGGAACACGGAGAAATTGTACTAGTTATGTTGAAATCAGTCTCATTTGATGTTTTTTGTGAAAATTAGCATTGAACTATGCCGTAAGTAGATCATCATTTTTTGCATTTTGTTCATTCCAGACCACAATATTGTTCAATATCGTGCTTAATAACAAAAATGGGCCCACTGACTTCCTACAGAACTGGCCAGGAAGTTTCTGCGCACTCAAGCATTAAATGCAGAACATTACAAGATTACTAAAGCATGAATCAAGCCAAAATATAACTGAGTAAGATCATGATGAAGGAACACCTTTATAATAATTTTAATAGATTTTGCATAATATAATCCTTTCACAGATTGGTGCACAGTCAGTCTACCTCATACTGCGGACACACAACACAGTCACAAGCATGCTGGGAATCTATGGCATAAAGGGCTACACTTCACAGCCAATTAGTGCAGCGAATGTAATTAGACTAAGAGTATACACTGTGATGCATGCGTTTTGCATAATAGCCTAGATTTCAATTCCCAAAAATTGGTCTGAAAAAATGCCAAAAATCTGGTAATATATTAAAATGGTCTGCTACTGGAATATTTGGAAGGACTAGTAACTAAACTGTTTATTATCAGTGTTACAAAATCAGTACAAAGTTTGGTACACTTTTAGTTAGTCGTCATTGAACTGCAACTTAATGTTTATATTGTAATTTGTATACAAAAAAAAAAAATCCAACTAACTTGATCAGTTTGCAACAAGATCAGACTTTCAAGATCCCACTGTCGTCATAGTTATATAAGATATGCATGTGGGGGGGGGCTGTTCTTACCATGTGGATGCACCCAGCAGCACCTCCCAGTAATGGCACCCGCTGTCAATGAAGACGTTGCCTGCAGCGCCGTAGGACCCGGTTCCACTGAAGCGCTCGGGGGTGTGGCTCTTCTTCAGAGAGCTCTCGTCCTTCTCCATGGTCAGACAGTCGTTGGACAGGCGGAGTTTCTTATGAGCCGTCTTTGGGTCCAATTTAAAGGGCTGACCTGGAGACGAAACCCAAAATATGTATATGATTGTATAATCAGAAATACTGCACATGGTAAAGGCCATGATTGGGGCCAGCAACCTCATCAAACAGCCATAAGTGTTTATTAAGCGCTTTTTATATTTGATCCTTTGTTATTGATTTGTTGTTGTGCTTTATAAATAATTATAAATTGGATTGTAAATTGGGATGAAGTGATGATTTTGATCTTATTTTAACCTTCGAAACCCGAGTCACACAAACATTGACTGTTTACAAGAGGATTATAGAACATGTACGTCAAAAACGTCTTAATCCACAGTTTCAATTGTATTCAACGTTTTGACATTTCTTGTCTTTGTGTTTGTATTTCTCTTGGGCACAAGACTGAATAAGAAATAATGCGGCACAGAAGACTAGCGACATAAATTAGAGCTCAGATTTTTCCAGCACATTACAACAGGAAAAGCAAATATAGTGTGGTGAGAAGTGCTGGCTGAGAACTCACAGGGAGAGACAGAGGAGAGTGTTTGAAATACAAGGGCGAGTGTGTGCACTTCAAAGCTCTGCCTGCCTTTGGTAAAAAAGACTTCCTAACAGCAAAGGAAGCCACCCGGGTCTCTCCTCCAAGCCCGCGTCACATGGACTGGGAAATGAGCTCAGAGAGGCAGCCTTCTCCTGCACTGTGGCAGGTCACAGCGCCCCATTCACAGCAATTGGTACTTTTGACTTTTCAATTCAGGTAACAGTGATCTGAGAGAGAGAGGGAAAGAGAGAGGCAGAGGGACAGAGAATGGGAGAGAGAATAAGAGAGAAAGAAACAAGGGGAGAAAGAGACAGAGAGAGGGAGGGAGAGAAGGAAATAGAGTGAGTGAAGAAGAGAGTGAGAGAGAGACAGAGGATGATGCTTTGGTCCCTGTCTCCTCACAGTCCTGACATTTAACTGTGACACTCCTCATCTCCTCCTCCAGACTCCCATGGCTTAATGACACAATGAGTGCTGACTTCTCTCTCTCTTCTCTCTATCCTTCACCTTCATCTTTGCTTCCCATCCTCTCTCTCTCCTCCAATAATCCATGTGGTGAGTGTGTATTAACGCATGTGGATATGAGACGTCAAGGCCACTGTGCTGCTGGCAGCCAATTACATTAATGCGCTCTCTTCTTTGAACTGCTTATCGCTGCCAGCGCAGCCATTTCCAAACAGTGACGCTCTGAGGCTGACTCTGGAGACAGTGGGCTGGGGTTCAGGGCTACACGTGAGACCCAGGACATCACACAAACATATTTAAATAGTCAAAGGACAGTGCAAATGTTGTGCTAGCAAGATTGTGCAAAACAAGGTCACGCATAAGAAGTTCACTACTGAAAGTCTACTAACAACAAACTTTAAAAAAAAACAAGCTCTATTCATGTTTGGGCCACCAGACCTGTAAAATGATCAGTACAGTTATCATACACCAACCTTGGCTGGGATGACCTCTGTTGTCTGTTGACTGTATAGGATTATTGGATTATTGTCTCCATAGAGACAAGCAGGTGAAGCCACATCATGTTACAGGTCAGATCTGGAGGCCATTGTGCTCACAGTAACAGTGTATGCTTTTGCACTAAAACACTTGAAATGAAATAAATGCTACATAGATTATTGAACCCGATAATGAATAATACTGTGTTTCATGCTATTTCCTTTGAGACAAACAAGTAGCGGAGCCTCCTGGAAAAGTTACGCATTGCACCTTTTTAATATTACCCTGTTGGGTACAGATCAGATGGGTCAGATATTTACCATGCCTCTTCACCTACACCAGGACGAGAACTGCAAAGAATAACCTGTTTCTTAAATCAGTCACAGCAAATGAGTTTTCTCCATCAGCCACACTAAAGCACAGAGGCCCAATTGGTATATGCCATTTATCCAAACAACACACAATTAAAAAGCCTTCTTGCATTAGCGGCAATCAGATCTCCGCACACTGTAATTTAATGAAACATACACTATATAATTAATATGGCTGTCATTTTTATGCAACAAGGCTTAATTGCACAGCAGTAAAGAGAGGTAGTGCTGAGCTGTAACACGGAGAGGATGTTTTAACTGTGTGAAGGTGAATACTGATATTATTCTAGCTCAAACAAACTGTTTATAAATATGGATACAACACAAGATGACAACCTAAAGCCTCTATGGCATTCAGGTGAAATTCATACAAATACACCATAGTCATGCCTTATCTTTCTCATTCTAATTCTTACTCGTCCTTGTCCTTTGCCTCTAAAAAACTGACTTCTTTTGTTACAGTTACCAATGCCTTCAGTCACCAAAATAATAATAAAAATAAAATCTAGCTTTTTGGGTGCAAAAAGCAGCAAAACTATTTAACTAACATGCTTTCGTAGTGTTCCATTGACATAGAAACTCTGTAAATGACTTTACCTCAACGCAGTGATTTCAGACAAAGTATTTTCTTTTGCTTGCTTTGTTTAACAGAGGAAACAATTTTCTGCATAAATAAACAATTACAGCAAAAAGGAAATCAGCCTCGTTGTAAAAAGACTGCAGGCTCAACTCCTGGGCGATTGCACACAACCTTTACCTGCTCTGACATTTCCCCGCCTGCAGCACCCAAACAAGCCATCCCATGTCATTAAACAGTTTGGTTGTGGGGCATATGTCTGACTGATGCAAATGTAATCACATATGACATCGTACAGAATGGGCAGAATACCACTGTCATGTTGGCATGCTACAGAATCATGCTATAGAGTTTCCCCAATGTCACCCTCTCATGAACTTTCTTGAAAATTAAAACTTTTAATGTGAAAAGTAGACATGTTACAGGAATACATGAATCACTCACCCACCAGCAGTTTCTTATCTAAAATGGCAAAGACTGATATACAGTTAAGGTGATACCAAATGTCATTATAATACACTACAAATGTAAAATAAAAAATGTAATGAGCCCTTGGTGCACTATCACACAACATAATTGCAGTGTGAACACTTTACTACATAAACCACTCCTCCTCTTAGGGGACAAGAAAAAGATACTGTTATAAAACACAGTAAATGCAGTAAATGTAACCATGGTATGAAGTCAGCATGAAACATAGACTAACTTCAGGATTGTTGTATTGTAAATTACTTTTTTGGCATTAATATGGCCCAGACCTCATGCTTTCATGTGTCTTTTCCCCTCATAGCACATGAAAACTAAAAAGATACAACTTTTAAGATGACCTGAATTTGTCTGAAATACACACTTTTGTAGACACATGAATGTGCCAGAGTGTCAGGGTTTGAGTCTTGTCACTTGCTTCTTTATTTCATAAATTGTCCATCCATTTTTCACATCACTTTCTTTTATTTACTGCCGCTCTCTTTCGGCTGCTCTTGGCTGTCCTTTCTTATTTAGCATCATCATTCCTCTATCTCCTACTGTTTACTTTAGAGGCTGTGCGTAGCATGGGGGCTGTCATCACAGACGCATTTTATTTTAAATTATAGAATTAAAGACTTGTTGTGAGTTGTTGTATTGATGCTAAAATGGAACAGGCAGCAGACTTAATAATGTTTGGTAATACTGTTGATCCTTCTAGTGGCAAACCAGGTCATGGGACGGATGGAGAGAGCCTGTACTGAGTCCAGGGTAGGGGGTTGTGCCTGGTGTTAACTGCTGCTTAACTGCCCTGGTGACAACAGTCAAAACCAGGAATTAATAAAAGGGTCCAAATATGGTCCAATGGGATATTGTGCAAATGTCTTCAGCAGTCATGCATTTGATTAACATTAGATTAGAATAATAGTAAGATTTATCATGCTTTATCTCCATACTATAATATTACATTTAATAACTCTTGAGAAAACAAGACTCAATGAACACGGAAATTAAACTGTGAAAAGAGCGGGCTACATACAATATTATAACTATACTTAGATCTAATCTACAGCGAACTGTGCAGAGTTCATTCATGTGGTCAACACACTCAATGTAATAGTTCAGTTATAAAAGATGCAAAACTAAAAGAATACGGTCATTGAAACTAATGCAATTTCCTCCCAAAGGATTAAAGTGCATTTTCTCTCTTCCAGAAAGTTGAAAAAAGCAAAGCAAAATAAAACAAAACACATAAGAGGCAAACATTTTCTGAATCTCCTCAGCTAACTCCTGTAAAAAAAAAAAAAAATCACAAAAATGCACTTAACTGTAGCCTACATGTGCAATAATTACAATAAAAGCAATGACATACATTTTGAATTGATAATTTCTATTGCAATAGTGATAATTTTTCATAACTTTTAAACTCATGATGTTTTACTACTACCATGAAGTTTTACTACTACCACTTTGAGTAGTTGTAAAAAGAAGTCAGATAACTTAATTTGAAAACTTGAAAGTAATTATTTTTACTTTGCTCTAGAGATCAACATCCACTGCTGTTGTGAAATGTACCTGTATAAGGCCCTTTTTCCAAAACTAAATGTCCCAGTGCTGTGTGTATTTCTCTATGTGTGAGTGCTCTCCGGACAGTACTTTATTAATGGGTAAAAAGCCCTGTATAGAGGCTATGTCTGCACACACTCACCCTGCAAAGAGCTATTCTGTGTCTCCTATTCATTCAACACTCTGCCTTCTGCACTCTCCATGTGTCACTTTTTATCCACTCTGATCCCACACACCTCTTTGTAGCGTGCCACAGTATAACCCCGTCATGATTTTACTCTATTGGTCAAAGCAGGGAAAAGGGTCAGAGGCTGTTTTCTTCATCATTCTTAATTCATACAAGTTACTTCACATGTTAGCTGTGAACACACTGCGATATCTCTCTGTACTGTAGTGTAAATGTTCACTTTGGTCCACTTTCACTGCAGCGTAAGTTTGAATTGACCCAAAAAGCCTCAAAGAGCTTTGTTCAAAAGCCTACAAAATATAATACTTTAAAAGATGTAGTGATACCAAAATGGGCAGGCAATATAAAATTTATTTCAGAAGCACTACAACCATTATAAAACTTTATGGAAGATTTCAAGAAAATCTAACCAGAATTCTGAATTGACTTTAGACAACAAACTCAACTTAAGTTTGAGTTAAAGCTGTAGAAGACGTATTTTTGCTAGTTGAAGAAAAGCGTGTTATTTGCTATAGTAGCAAAATATCGCAGTTTTGCAGCTTCTTTCTGCAACAGTATTAGCTAACTGTGACTTCCATTTACATTATCTCCTGGGCTAACAGATTAATCTAATTCTAGAAGAACATTATCCAAATGATCTGTGATAAAAGGGGCTGTGGGTGAGTTTGTAGAAAATTTAAATTAGACAAATTGGGGAAAATAATCAATATCGTTACCTATATTATCATAAAAATATCAGCAGAGCTTATCAGATATTGGTTTCTCAGAATTCTAAACAATCGGTATGAGCAGTGGCCATGAAAAAACCCACATTGGTCAATCTCTAATTTATATCATTCATTACTAAAGTGAAACAATAACTCAAATGACAATAAAGGGACTAGTTTTCAGAAGAGGGTGCAGACCAAACTGACTGAGTGCACATTCTAGTTTCAAAGACAATACCCTTCAAACTTCCCTTTAACCCTATGGATAGTTTCATTTACCATATTGCCTTGTATTTTTGAACTCCATACCATGGATTTGGTGGATCTTGATAGGAGAAGCTTTACCCTCAGGATGAAGGGGACAGATGGTAACGGACCAAGGCCAGAGAATGAGGAGAGGGCAGCGAAAGAGCAGATCCTGTGCCATCGCCAGGGGTAACGAGGATCACAGGGCACATGGTTGGGTCAGACTGGGACATGAAAGTTTTAATGCCAGTGAGAAAAAATACTAAGCCTATTTAACAACAGGATCACCCCCCTTACATCTTCATACATTTGGGTGAACTTTTGTCAGCTCTGATTAAATGCAAATTGAGTTCTTGGAGGTTAAATATAGTCCAATTTAACTTTAGGCTTTTTGGCATGGCTTGTGGTTCTTAGTGCAGAGTCTTTTTCAAGCAACATTAAGTAAGTGCATTTAAATAGAATCATTAAGCCACTTTAACGTCTCTTTCAATCTTAGCAAAACAATGTTACTTATGACTTGGCAGAGAGTATGTAAATAAGTAAATAAAAATAAGACATGATGGAGGGCACACTGATAATTAGGACTAGAAGTACATGAAGCTTGCAGCAGTAAAAGTAACAGTAAAATTCTTTAATGTAGTACTTCTAATTTAAATAGAAGAAGTATAAGTAAGTAACATCTGCAGAATTTGTAGAGACTGTATATTCACACAAGTTGGTGATTCTCAAACAAGGTACACAAAGGATCTTATTGCTTAACTTCAATATCACACTTTGCCCTATGAGATTTGCTGCGTCTGTACTTCTTGTCACTGCTTTCTGTACTTTTCAAGCCTCTGTCTGAAATGTGATGAGCTTAGCCAAAAGCCCCCAGAGTCTCTCATCTTAGAAAATGTGACAGCTAAAGACTCCGATCCAGCCTCAGACTGAGAGAGTGAGTGCAAAAGGGAAGCAGCAGAAATGGTGCTTGTGGGTTTAATGCTCAGTACAAGTGCGGGTACTGTCAGGGGGTCTGAGGAGAGGGCTATAATAAGACTGTCACAGATATTTGTAATCAGTTTGGTTGTGACCCATTTTAATCCAAAACATAGCTCCAACAGAAGAGATGACAAAGGCACTATGAATACCCAAGTTTTTTGTGGAAGTAGAAGATAAAACCCCTCAACTACCAGTGCAATTTATCAGTACAAACTATGGAGCTGTTAAAAAACAAAATACACCATGTTCTTGTACTAGGAGGAAGGAGGAGGACCTGGGAGTAGCAGACTAATGTTTTGAATAAAATCTGACAGTTGACCTTTTTAAAGTTGGAAATTGGCCTGAAACTCATTTGAAAAAGTACATTTGGCTCATAAAAGAGTGTTCATCTGCAATGAATATCAGTTAGTATTTCAGATACTAACACAATCAGAGATGATTTCAATACTATGGGAATAAATATGTGATACCTGTTTTAGTTTTTTTTATTATTTTAATAAAAATTTTATATATATATATATATAAGACAAAATAGAACGTAATTTTCCACAAAAATCATAGTATGAACCTGCATTATTTATTCATTTTGACATTTTTTGTGTAAATACCAATAAAATACTAGTTTCAATTTTGATTAGTATCTTCACCTTGGTGTAAATTCTTTGACCAACCTAATATTTTATATATGGGCCATTACAATTTCAATTTAAATATCAAAAATATATCCATATAAACACTATCTGTAAGCTTTTCCCCATACATTCTCCTAATCTGAACTGAAGCACTCACACTTTGACCAGTCTTATGACAAAGTGAGTTGTCAACCGTGTGATTTTCACATCATCTGTTGATGCTCCCAGCTACAAACCAGCCTCACACCACAAGGAGGCAGTGGTTAGTAACACCTAAAAACAGTTAATTCTCCGATTAGTGACATGTCCCGGAGGCCAAGTGACCATCTGAAACCAGCTCTGGGTAACAGCAGATGTTCTCTTACATCAACACAGGTGTAAGCATCTTTAAGGACACTCCAGACTCACCGACCAACTGTAAAATATATGACTTTAGGCTCTGTGCACTTTCAGGCCAACAACTTGGCAGGAAATTGAATAATAAAAAACGAATCTCTGTTGTAACATTAAAAACTGAAAGCCATAAAAAGGAAATAAAACTGCATATGTGCAATATATATCTCTTCTGATATTGGATTAATCATTTATGACCACTTACAACACTGTAAAAAGTTATCTATTACTGAAGCTGTAATAAGTTCTCATATCTTTTTGTATTTGATGCTTGAGTCATCATAAAGACACTAGTGAACTTGACAAATATTCATATTAGTCACATTTTTCAGTTTTGTTCGTAACTCAACCAACAGTGCGACACACGGTGGGCTGTTCCTGTCAAATGATCCTGCAATTTCTTACCCAGCAGAGCAGCAGAGATAACAGTTAATCCTGACTGGCTGCCACACTCTCAAATGCAAAAGAGTAGTTTTTAAGCTTTTTATGCAATGATCCAGTGGTTTAAGTGCTAATTTTATTGAGCAGACACAGAACAGTCAATGAGCTGCAGGTTTGATCTCATCTCCTGTTGCCCGAGGAGGACTCTGATCACACCTGTCTGTATTTACAGCATCACTCTGACAGGTGCAGACTGAGAAACATGCACAGACAAAAAGCACTTCACTTTGGTATGAAAGATTAAGTGATTAGTAAATAGGCCTGTCATGATTTTTGAAGTATGATATATTGTTTCATAAAATATAATGAAGAACACTTTAGGCCACTGATATTTTAACCTCCAGCAGAAAAATCTCAGTAGGGATGCAGGATTTCAGTTCCAATGCGAATATTGATACTTTGACGAAGTATCTGCTGATACCTGATATTAACCAGTTACCAGTGTAGGACCAGAAAATGGCACTTATTTTCTTAAAATGCTTAAAACTTATTCCACAAGAGATCCAATTGTGTTATGCAACTGCTATTTATCCTTCAAATAATTAATGAACAGCTTTGTATAAATAAAAGTTCAAACTTTATGTTCCAGACCCAAATCAGCATGTAAGTTTTATTAGGATATCAGATATTATGGAACCAATAACCAACCCAGCAACATTTTCAGCATCACGGCAATATTCAGTACCAGTACTGATGCATCCTTAAATCTCAGTAAAATGCATGTACAAAAATATGAGCAGAAATAAATAAACTACTGCTGGTGCAAAAAAGGATATATATTAACGCAAAGACTAAAAAAGAAAATGTGCATTCTGTAATTTGTTCTCGTTTCATTTGATATGGCAATTATTGTGACAGGCCTTTTAATAAAAGATTTAGAAGCATGGTCACCTCGCACTCAAAGACAAATCTTAGATGAAAGAGCACTTCTTAAGTATTCTGTATATCATCTTTTAATGTGTTTAAAAATGTGTAGTTTTTGCATTTGTAGTAAAGGAAGTAGCAGAGCTAAATTTAATAGTAGTGTAGTAGTGGGAGAAAGCTCATTATACTCATACTAAAAACTATTATTTAAAAAAGTGACGGGGACATAGCACAGCTTAAAATAACTATATTCACATTTCCTATTTTGACTCAGAAATAACTCTAAAGTGTTGCACCCCACAGGTCCTACATGAGGTGCATATTTAAAAGCTTTACTCACTGTTGGTCTTGAGGCGCGCTGGCTCACTGTTGCGGCTCCCTGCCTGGTTGATGGCCTTGACAAAGAAGATGTAGCGGGTGCCACTCTGGAGCCCGTGCACCGTGTAGTGGTTCTGCTTGATATTGGGCACGATCATCCAGCTGTCTGCAGAGTTGTACAAACCTGTCGCACAAACACACAAGCCCAATGTTGCGACACTTTCAAGGATACATCAAACCTGCAGCAATATCAGAAGGATTGCTTTTACATGACCTTGGAACCCTGTTGTTTGTTTTGAAAATGTCAAAAGTGATTCATCTTCACAGTTTTTTGAGTATTCATGGGTTTCAGCTTCCAGTTATTTGCAACATTTTGAGGACTTTTTCCCATTCAAAAGATATAATTGTTTGTTTATGAAGTACTAATGGCTATGGCAATGGTCCTACTTTGTCATCATTCTGAAATCCATCAATAACCACACAAATTCAATACACAATATTGTTTGACCGACGAAAGCCCTTAAGAGCATCTGAGCGCTATTCACACAAATAGCTATTCATTACATTTTATATTACAGAAAAGGTACAAAAGCGAGAAGAGCTTTGTAGTGGAAAGTTGAAAAGTGACCTTGCTTAAAACATAATTCTTAAAAAAAACTGTTTAAGGTATTATCGCTGAGAAGAGTACAACTTAATGAACTGTAAACCTGTTATAGAAAAATAAGACAAAATTTTTCCTTATGTTTGAGAATACAAAGCTAATCATACATTTACACTACAGCCCGACCGATATATTGGTTGGCCGATATTACTGGCCGATATGGGCACCTGGAGGCATATCGGCTGCCGGCCGATATGCTTGCTGATAGGGGCCGATATTTCACGTGGGCATGTGATACATCGTTAAAAATCTTAGACTCTCTACATTATGTTCATTTAATCGAATTTACAGACAGATAATTGTCCTAATATGTGGCTCCACATCAGTATTTATCTACAGAGTCATTTGTCTGTGTGTGTCCGTACTGTCCCTGAACACACCACAGAGTCGCGTCACTCACGTGTGTTTGTTTACACCGGAGACACAGATCCAAACATTGAGATTATATTCTTTTTACGGACAATCGGTTTGAGTCTGAATTAAAAGGACATTTATTAGTGCAGACTTGTGATGTGAGGAGGAGCCTGTGTGAGCGGTGAGTGTTGGAAATATGTCGACTTTGAAGCTAGTTTTGGTCATTTGTTATGGGTTAGCTGCTGTAGCTCCCGCACATAAACAGGCTGTTTTCTATTGGCCTATTGTAAAGTGATAATATTGGCCGTATATTTGTTACTAGACGTGCATTGAAATGTAAATGAGCTGTGAATAGACGTGTGAATTATAACATTTGCGCATATAATTAATTTCCGCGGCGCGCACGTATTTACGGCTAAAGGCTAATAGCAGTAGTTTCTTTACTAGTTATGGGTCCGTCGCGAACGAAATGACTCTTAGAGCCGGTTCTTTGAAGCGAACGACGGGAGCCTGATCCTTATTGGGAGCCGTGTTTTCTCTTTCTCTCACTTTTTTTCTCTTCACGCCGCATGCAGACTCGTGGTTTGACAGCGGGAGCAACTGAAAACGAAACTTTGAGAAATTTGCGTGTACATAGGATAATAATAAAAAAACAAAAAAACGAGCATATTTGACTGTAGTTTAGCATAAAATAAATAAGTCCTGGTTTAATCCTTTTTCAGTCCTGGTTTAGACCTGGTTCAGTCCTGATTCAGTCCTGCTTTAGACGTGCTTTATTCCGCTTGCAACAAAACAATCTGAAGAGCCACTTGGGAGCCAAAAGAACCAGCAGCTTTTAGTGAGCTGAGCCAAAAGAGCCGGTTCTCTAAAAAGAACTGGAATACCCATCACTAGTGTCTAGAATGTGATGCAAAAAATCCATTAAGTCAACCTACTGTCTGTAAATATGATGTAAAGAGGCAGAATAACAATAAACCCAATTTAAAATCCACCAGAGCCAAACCTAAGTTTTTTAAACAATTCAACATTTACAGTGAATTTTTACATCACTAAATATATCGGCGATTATATTGGCTATCAGCAGATCCAACTCCCATTATATCGGTTTCATATCGGCCACAGCAAAATCCATATCGGTCGGGCTCTAATTTACACTACTTCATACTGTCCTGAAAGCACTATAAGATAATATATGCGATACATGAAATAACTACTTTGTTTTTAACACCTAACAGTAGTACATTGGTAATACAATCCTGAAAGAGGACATGCTCTGTAGGCCATCTCTGCCCTGTGCCGATGCCCTCTGGATACATGGTGAATTATTGAGCGAGATGGCAACAGCATGCATAAGTAATAGGCCAGAGTCTGCTTGTAAATATAAATACTTCACAGACGCGCCAATAAGGGCTTTTATAGGTGAGCAGCTTAAAGTATGAATGAGAAAGGAGGGACTTGCTGTGGTAAAAGCTATATGTTTCTGATGACTTCCACAAAATTTTCTGAGACAAAGTAAGAGGGCTTTCATCTCTTTTATAGGAAAGGGTTTAGAGCAATGCAATGTAGGCCATCTTTATCTGTCCCCTGTGCTCATTTCTAGTAAATACAATTGTAGATGCCTTATTTTCACAACAATACAGTGAATGAAAGTCAAACGCAAATGTTATGATGTGTGTCAAACTGTTGAAGCAATTTTAGTTCTACATTGGTTTCGTACTATTTCACAACACTTTCACAATGTAACTTAAAAAAAGTATGTAATAGATCTGGTTTCAGTTGGATATGCTCAGAAATTAGAATACGTGCAAGAGTTAAACCAAACTCGAAAATACTAATCTTGCCTTAAAATATACATGCATGAATTAGTCCTATTTTCAGGTTATTTAAGCCCCATTTGCAAGTACACTCGGTGTCAACAAAAACTGCCTCTTCCAGTCCTTTCAACATTGTCCTCCACTGACAGTTGTCCCTGTTGTTATGAAAATGTAACCGCCCACCTGTCTTTCAGCCGTTTTCTGAGCAGACTGGCTCGAACATTCTGTGGGTTTTAAAAAGCTCATACGGAAAATGCAGCTTTCCTTTTTTGAAGCTTTTGATCTCAACAGCACCTCTTCATTTTTAGCTAAAGCAAATTAGGTCAGCACACAGCATTATGTGATATCACTGCTCCAACTGCGGAGGAGAGGAAAGGTGGGCTTTTGGACACTCAAGAGGACATGCTGATGTGGAAATGACTGAGGATTTGGATGAAGAATTAGTCATTTTGAAAACACACAAAAACATTTGGGACTACAAAAAAATGCATGGTAGACTTCACAATGATGTACTGAAGCATTTGGGACTAGTATACGCTATACATGTGTGTCTTTTCTAGTCTGTAATCCTAAAAATTATATATTTATATAATTATACCGAGGAACCAACAACAAAATGTGTCAGAAGCTTTATCATCAGTAGACTGGGAATCAATCCTGTCCATTGACGATCCTCAATTCTGTAGCTGTCAACTCATTAAAACTCTAAAAGAGGTAATATCAACATTCTCCACTAAAAGAAAGCTGAAATTAAAGAAAAAAATTTACTTGCCATGGCTGAACAAAGAATGTAGGAATTTGATGAAAAGCAGACACCAGCTACTAAAACAATTTTTGAAAACTGGATTAACTATAGACAGACAGAGATTCACTCATATACGAAATAAAGTAACTGCAAGTTTAAGACAGGCAAAGGCTAACTTCTTCATCAATGTAATAGAGAATGCAAAAGGCAATGATAAAATTATTTGGCAACATCTAAATAAATTGCTTGGCCGTCAATCAAACAAGAACGGAAAAGACAATGGAGCTACATGTCAATAACTCCATTGTTAAAGAGCCTCTCTCCTTAGCCATTCAGTTAAACAGTTTTTTCATAACCTCCGTAAAGGAGATCACTCAACACTTCACTCCACCTGCCTGCTCTCATCATATCAGTGACCCTGATCAGGACATGTTCAGGATCACTGATATTTCAGACCATGAAGTTGCCAAATTAATTACAGGCTTGAAAAATTCAAAAGCACTTGATGCATTTGGTTTAAGCACAACTCTTCTGAAAGAATTTAAGGATCCTCTTGTACGACCCATCACCCATCTCCTCAATATGTCTTTCAAATTTTCTGTTGTTCCAACTGATTGGAAAATAGCTGCAGTGACACCAATTTTTAAATCAGGTGCTAAAACAGACATGGTTAATTATCGGCCTATAAGCATACTTCCAGTTATATCTAAAATAACTGAGAAGTGGGTAGTCAAACTCCTTAAAGCTCATTTAGAAAACACCCAACCCTCACTACACCCACTACAGTTTGGCTTCCGAGCTCATCACTCCACTGACACGGCCCTGTGTATGCTAACAGAAAACATAAAGAGCTTGTTGATAAGAGTCCCTGTGTTGGAGCTGTCTTCTTAGATCTGAAGAAAGCCTTTGACTCCGCAAATCATCTACTGTCCCGGTTGACTCAGTTTAACATCTCCAGTCAAGCTCTCCAATGGTTTACATCATATCTGTCACACAGGAAACAGTATGTGGTAGTTGATGGGGTAAAATCTCAATTGTTGGATTCTGATGTTGGTGTCCCACAGGGCTCAATCCTTGGGCCTGTGTTATTCTCCCTCTTCATCAATAATTTGCCAAATGCTTGTCCAAATACATTTTCACAGATGTATGCGGATGATGCAGTCATCTATACGCAAGCCAAAAGTTTTCAGCAAGTTGCTGAGGACCTCACAGTTGCCTTATCGTCTGTGCATAGCTGGCTCAAGGATTCGTGCCTTCTGCTAAACACCAAAAAAACTGTCTGTATGTACTTCTCAAAACGTCACACCGATTTGAAGCAATCAAACGTTTTTCTTAATGGAGTTGAACTTGATCTGGGCTCAGAATTCAAATACCTTGGAGTAATTCTAGATTCAACACTATCCTTCAAAAGTCATGTTAAAAAAGTATCCCAGGTTATCCAGTTTAACATTCAGAACTTCCGTCATATCAGGAATAACTTAAACATGAATGCTGCAAAAACTTATTTCTATTCAATGATTATCTCTCCCATCGATTACTGCTTAACTACTTGGTCTCTTGCCTGCCCCACAACACTTAAAACCATTGAAAACCTCTATAAAAGAGGTCTAAAAATACTTGACAAAAAACCCATTTCCCACCACCACTGTCACATACTGAAAAAGCACAAGCTTCTGGATTTTAGCAACATGGTCAAACTCAAAAGGACTTGTCTAATTTATAAGGTTCTACACTCCCTGGCACCACCACCATTAAATAATTACATTAAACGTAAAGACATTTCAATAAGAATCACGCGAGCCACCACCAGGGGTGACTTGGTCAGAATGTGTTATCTGTACAAGGTGGAAATCTGTGGAACAGTCTTCCACTGACCCTGAAAGAATGCCCTACATACAGCTCTTTTAAACGAAAACTTGGTTATGGTCAAATCAAACATGTACACATGTATAACTGCACTGTGATTTTAATTGTTTTTCTATGTGCAATGAATGGGAACTGTGCAATGAATGGAACTCTATAATGAGTGGAGTGTGCAATATTTTAGTGTCTGGCCCACTGTGACCCTTGCCCTTGGGACAACGGATGGAAATTAGCCTTAGGCTACAATCCGGTGTGTTTACATTCATGCTGTCATGTTTGTTCATTAACATGCTCTGTCCCAATCAAATAAATAAATAAATAAATAAATAAAATAAATAAAAAAATACCCAAAAAAACAAGGTGAACTTGTTTACTTCTTACTTATGAACTGTCTAACTATAAATACGTGCAAAAATGTCATCAATATCAGTGATGGCGATACTTGTGTTATGAGACTTTGCTGAGTTCATTTGCACATATAAGGCCTGTCTCAGTATTGTCTCAGCTGTGGCACACACACAGTGATACATGACAGCAGATAGATCCTGCTGGGCCTCTGTTCAAACACTGTGGAGATCTGGAGACAGAGACTTTACCCTCTGAGTGCTGTCTCTGTGCCTGCTGCGATACCAACCCTCACTCTTCATTATTATATTAACTTCACCACAGGGCACTGCTCAAGAGTACAGGTGGAACAGAGACGACAGCAGATAAAGTACATTTTTACTGTGCTCTCATACTGAGTCCTAGAGAATATAATAAATAAAAGATCAAGCAAAGAAAGTTCAGTTTGGATTGTACAAAACAAAATTGCTACTTGAAAATTTTCTGCAAAAAAAAGGGTTAAACTCCATATTAAATTTTTGACAGAATTTCACTAGTATAAATGTCAATGCATCGCATGACTTTAGGTCAGGGTTGTCCAATTTTTTTCATCAAGGGCCGCATATCTAAACACAGAAGAAGCAGAGGGCTGATTGAGGGCCGTAGACTGGTGCTCATTAAATAATTGCTCAGTAAATAATTGAAATATGTGCATATTTAACACGTTTGAATAAGCCATCAGACTTTATTCATGCTAAGATCCTTAAAACAACACACTAAATAATAAATATTGGCTTTATCAAGGTAGATTTTCAAAAAACTTACAATAAAAAGTTAATTATTCATCGATGCAAGGTAATTTGGGCCTATACTCCTGGAAGCCTGAGGGCCAAGAAAAATTAGTCTGAGGGCCACATTTGGCCCACGGACCATAGTTTGGACATGCCTTCTTTAGGTGGTACAGTTAATTATTAAGAGTTTGCTTGACAAGTGAATTTGAAAGTGATACATCAATGCCATTTTATCATGATCAGTTTTTTATGTCCTTGTGTGGCTGTGTTCAGTATTTTCCCACACAAACACACAGTTGGCCTGACGTAACCTCTAACCTCTATCATGGGAGTAACAGATCAGAGAGAGAACTTAACCACTTGGAAAGTTGTTGTGAAAAAAGTGGTAAATCTCAAATGGCCTAGTAGAGTGTATGTTTGTTTCTATCCTGGTTGTGAATCTCGGCGGGCTTTCTGTGGCATATGAGACTGTCTAGTGCAACTGAAATGTATCCTGATGTTTCAAATAGTGAGGCACTTTAGATGGAGAAATGCCAGGCTCTGGGGAGCAGAAGCAGAGATGATGACAGTACGGAGGAGGACAGGAGAGTGGAGCACACAGATGTAAAATGCACTTCTAGATTATTTACTTTAATCATATCCTTCTAACACATGCGCCAATGAGAGCCAATTTACACCTGAACTATGGACTTGTAATTTGATGTAATCCACAAGTATGCATGATCCTGTCTGCATATCTACTGCTATCAAATGAAACAGGTTTGAATAATTTATACTGATAATTGCTGTTGTCGGCTTTGTAAAAAAGAGACAGTCTGGTGTTTTGAACTGGTTTTAATGCAAACTGAACATATGGATTAGTGACCAAAATAAATGATTTGCAGCACTATTTATGAATTTTGTCTTAAACACATTATATCATTCATTTAAAAAAACAACATTCACACTCAATTTTCACTCTCTTTTATGATGTGTGGTCTTTCAATCTAACAATATGACACAATACTACTACCAAGCCTTGTTGCACTAAAATAATGGATAGAGAAACAAAAAATGCAGCTGTATTTAGTAACAGTTTTTATAAAATATTGAAGAGGGGAAATTCAGACGGCGGACTATTGTTCTACTTTCCAATGTGTTTTAGAGCAAAGAGGTCAGAGTGTTTTTGAGGTACGCCCCATGTGATGTGTGGTTGAGTGTATTTACAACAGTGGATGTTTGCAGCATGAGTGAGCACTGATTCGTGTCCTGAGAGAGCCCTGTCCTCCGTAGTCGAGGTAAAAGTTGTAGTGTTTTGTGTATATACTTACTGATGAAGTTGGTCTGCCCAGTGTAGATGGTGTATTGTAGCTCATAGGATGTGACGCTGAACTCATCTTCGGACGTCCAATGAACAGTTATGGTGTCGTGAGAGGCCGTGCACAGCTCCTCTCGTATGGAGGGAGGGTTCGGAGCTGCACCCACAAAAAATACAATTATTAGAATATGTAAATGCAGAATAATATCAAAGTAGACTAGACTGCTGTATTCTTTTAACAGTCACTACTGTAAATAGTACTGTGATACTGATGGCTTGATTGATTGATTGTGATAGTTACTTTAAATTATTAATTGTTATATTAAACACTTCTCTTCATAATAATATAAATCCACCCAAACCAGATGGCCACATGGTGACTAGCACTCACGCCTCATGCCTCCACACCATTGGAGTTTGTATGTTTTTCCCAGTGACTGAATGGGTTTTTCTGGGCACTCTGGTTTCTTCCATAAACCCAAAACATGCACAATAAGTAAAAACCTCCAGCTAAGGTGGTCCTAATCAAGCCTAGCACAAGATCTGGAGATGGGTCCCCACCACTGCTAACTGGTTGCCAGCATTGAACAGCAGCATTGAAGGATGGGTGAAATGTGGAGGACAAATATCCCTGCAGGGACAATAAAGTGTACCTTATCTTAACCTTAACATCTTAACACTTGAATAATGGGAAAAAATATGGTAGTCGTAGTGGTACAGATATTATTATCTGATAACATATTTAGTTTGATAAAGGCTTCAAACTGCAGTTTGATATAACATTGTGTTCATTGGAAAATTTGACACATTTTACTTTTGATAATGTACAAAGCGAACAGTCCTAAATTAGGTGGATTTTGTTTGTTTGTTTCGGTGAAAAACAGGAAAGCAAGGTAGCTAGAGATCTATAAATCCCAAAGTGACCCAGCCATGATTCCACCTCCATGTACACAGGGCGAGTGTTCTTCTAACCTGTTAGATAGTCCAGTCCTTCCAGGATTTTCTTCTCTCGGGAAAAGTCCAGTGCAAAGTTGTCAAAAGCTTCGTTGAGGTTGACGTCGGGGATGAGGACCTGGGAAGAGGCTGTTGCCATGGCGACCCTACAGGGAGCAGACAGAGATTGAGAGTAAACACGTAGGCAAATGTCAGAGGAGATGAAAGAGTAAGGAGAGGTCAAGGAGTCAGACGGAGAGGTCAGACAAGAAAACTATGAAGGACGTGCAGAAGGTAGATGGAAAATAGTAAGTGCAGAGAGCAACAAAACAGGAAAAAAAATTCAACTTAAATAACTGCTGCTAAAAAATCTTACTTTTTTTTTTACAGATCTTATTAATGCAGTCATGTCCAAATTCTACTTATTCAGTGCTTTTCTGCCCAAGAGTCTGTCAGTGGCATTTATGAAAACAGCAGCCCTCCATCAATGACACAACTATCCACTGCAGCTAAAACATGAGTGCATGTTAAGTCCGAGAGGCAGCCGCAGAGCCCAGTGCCTGGAGGGGACAGAGCGAATTACAACAGTCCAGAAATGGAAAAAGAAATTAAAGATCTGTCTTGTAAAATGATAAATGATTTTCAACCGAGACATGACATTGATTTGGGGAGAGCCAGAGAGTTCTAATATAAGTAATACTGATTTCACTGCCTTGGATTGGATTTTTTGAAAGGAAGAAAAGTTTAAATCAAAACTGGTCTGTTGTAAGGAAAAACATTACAGTCAGCTGTATGAGAAATGTTTTACAGTGCAGCAAGGACAACCGAAGCCAGATAATGTAAGGACTTTAGCCTCAGTTAACCCCTCTGCTGGCTCTATGGGTGAATGTGCTCTACCTTTCGGCGACGTTTCGTGCAGTCTGAAGAAAGCGTGCGTGGTCATTCTCTTTCAGGCTTTGCTCTGCTTGTGTGATCAGAGCACTGGAGCGCTCCAGGCACTGGCGACAGTTGGCGATCTGCTGAGCCAGCTTACGTAACTTCATCACCTGAAACAATCATAAAAACAAATAACTCAAGTATCAGTATATTTTTGAATCTTTAAATAGGCAAAGGTACAGTGTGTTATAATTTGTTGCTTTTGTTCAGTGGGAAGGAGACAGTATTATATCCAGAAATGGAGGGATCTGATTGGGCATCTGGTGTAAATACATATGCAAAATCAGAGATAGATGCTTTGCTGAAAAAAATGTACTGATACTAGCAGTAATATTGGTATCTATAGCAGTAGCAGTGTGATCATATAATATTATGTAATACAACATGCTATATTAGAAAAGACTTCCTCCACCTCCACTTGGCCATAATTTCAGTCAGCATGATTAAATGCTAAATCACATTTACAAGGGAAGCAACACAAACAAAACAAGTAATTTTATGCTATATAGCCCAACTGTCATTTTGAACTGGTGCATCATTATGACAATTGCACCTCAACTTTTCTGAAAGATTTTTGACAAATTGCTGGAAAAATCTGGTACAAAGTCAGCAGTGTGCCTCTCAGGGGATGAAGCCCGCTGTGAGCTGCACTCTCATGGTAAAACTCCAGCTCTCCTGCAGCCTCTGCAAAATACTGGAGGTGTTTGGAGGGAGATCAAATACTATATATTTTTAGTGGTTTATGGAAACCAAGGAAGCGCAAATCTGTAAGGAGCATTAAGTGGAAGATAAATAGTTGGTTAGAAGTATGAACTGTAAAGGGAGTAGACCGTTGCTCAATATGACATCTTTTGCACAACCAAATAAGATTGTTTTGTGTGTGAAACAGGCTGTTTGAATATTCATATACAGAGTGGTGATCCTCAGTTTTATGTCAGGTATCATACATAATATTTGTCGAATCATATAAGGCAGAGGCACAAATGTCACTGCCAGCCTTTTAGATAAAACGGACACAGTGAGATACAAGTAAACAAGTCCCCTCTCACATAAACACACTGATGCTTCCATTTTGGGGGCAAAGCTTTGCAGAGGAGACTGGAACAGCATAACAGGATTTTGTATGCTCGATTATGGTGAGCGGATCCATGCAAGGTGCTCCCTTTCTCTCTCCAGCCTCATTCAAACAGACACAGTCTCTGAGGAAAGTCTGCCCTTCGCCAAATCTCTTCCCAAACAAAACAATCATGTCCTCCGCATGTCCTCCAAGTGTCTTCTCTGCTTGACTTATTCTAATTCATATTCACTCACACATCAACGCCTCCAAACTTAAATGACTTATTAGATAGTTCACACAATTAAGTAATAAGGGGATTATGAGTGAATGAACTGATTTGTGTGAGTTTGACAAACACCAAATTTGAATGTCTACACAAGCTCACCTCTTGTAAAGATTGCTTGTGGCAGTGAGCATATAAACTGACCATCAATAAGTGTCTAATTTGGTAAGGAAATGTCACAGAAATATTTAATTTCATTGCTATTGACAGAAGTAGCTCATTAGTCAGATTGCTTAACAGTTAAATCCCATATTAACCATGCATACTACTGTTGTGTCCTTAGGCAATACATTTCTCTTACCATGTATCACACTGTATCAATGATGTATGCGAGTTTAGCCACAAATTGCCAGCCATACTTCACTCAGAATACCCCAGGGTTGCACTGGCTACAAGAAGGACCACAGAGTGTAAGGAGAAATGGACTAATGCATCAAACAGTAAAGCTCCATGGTACAGCTCTATATAAGACTAATTCATAGCCATTATTTAAATTTGACACCCCAAAAGTCAGAATGAGGTTTATAGTTCAGTCATGTTGAGCCTGTAACTAAATGATCAACGCCCTGAGAAAAGTTCTGAACTGTTTTCACTTGGGTGTCTCTTATTGTGCCCAATCCCTATAATGAAAAGTAAATGTTCAAAGAAAGTAATTTTGTGCCTTCAGAAGGACCCCGCCTTGTATTAGAGCCTAGAACTGTGAATACTGATGAGACAGCACTGCCAGATTTAGGCTGAGTGTCTAAAGAGTGTGTTCTATTTCAACTTCAGAAAGAGACGCCAAACTGACACACACACACGCAGACACACACACTCACACACTTCTGAGAAAAAGTAATCAAGGCTAAAATGTTGTTTGAGGCACATGTTGCTAAATAATAGCCCATCCATTAAAGCTGTTTCGCTCCTCTGCTCAGCACTCTCAACAGCCGGCTCACAGTGACAACAACAGATTACAGCTGCTTAAGGGAAGAGCAGCTAAGATGTCAAAGAAAGCCCCACGCATTTCAACATCAAACTTTAACTACAGTTGGAAAAGCATTTGCTTTACATAGTTATTTTGGAATTTTAGCTATAGATCTATGAGCATAACAATAAGTTTAGTTGCATTGTGCAACTGAATTTAGAAGATTAGTAAGATAGAAAAATCTTAAAAACATTGCAAACACAAAAAACACAAAGGCAAAAACATTAGAATCTGCTATATATCTTCAGAAGGACAAAGGTTTCTCAGCAGTTTGTTAACACATAGATTTTTTTTTTTTGGTAGGTCCCCGGAGACGTACTCTTTATATAAATGCTGGTTACATGATAATACATCTCAGAAAGCCTTGAGATGTATTTTTTTCACACTCTGTTTTCTTCCAAAATGCTTGTATCTCCTGCATTCCATGTGCACACACACCACTTTAGATAATTTGATGAATCAGGATATGAGAGGTAATGAATGTAAGTGGATTAGTTTAGCTTTAAATTAGACAAGAGTGGTCTCCTTGTAGATGAAGGGAAATTACATTATAGTTCAGGCAGCCAAAAATGACTGGCAAAAGGAGCAGCATTAAACTGTAAAGGCCAAGTGCAAAGGGGATGTTTAAAAGAAGATCTTCTTGGATTCTCTGTGTACTTGTATTTTGAACTTTCCAAGTGGCCAAACTATGTACCATTCACATAAGACACGTACGTCACCAAATAAGTACTGGACAGCCTTAGTCCCTGCTTTATAATGACTACTTCATTTTAGCAACATCATTTTCTAGTGAATGGTAATTTTTTTAAAGCTAATGTAATCTGCTCTCAGCTTCCCAATATTTTGACATATAAATAATAACCACTGAACAACAAAACTTTCTTTGGAGCTGTATCAAATCTTCTTAAGTCCTCCCAATAGCTCACCGTCATGTATTATAAAAGTGAGTGATTATAAAAACTCCTTCGGCATTTGCAAAACGTAGTTATTATACAATGTGTAAATTTCATAACTTTTCTACTGCTGTCCTTCCTTGAATCAAATAATCAAAAGAATCTTATTATATTATTGTATTATACTATGTCATACTGTATTATATTATGCATTGTAGCCATATGCGTGCTGTCTGGGAGGTGGTGCAACATCAATATGCAGTACTTGTAAAATTTTAAAGGCCAGGATCATGCTATAGTACTCTTTTATGCATGCATTTGAAATCTAAAGGTCATCTAAAGGTAAAAGCTGCCTTTACTCATGGGAGCCCACATCTCAGCATGTCCACCTGTGATTAGTTGAATTACTTCTGGTGCGTGTGATTCATCTCTTCCTTGACCCTTAAATATTAACACATCACCTCAGAATCAGCATCAGACAGTCCTCCTCTCTGGTGCCTCTTTCCTCCTCTAAGGGCTCACATACTCTAGCCTATACTGCCTTTTCACACCCAGACTCCCAGGAGAACAAACCACTCATTGTCTGAAACTTAGGAAATAAAGGATGTATTTTTTAAGTACATGCAAAATGTACTTCAAGAACAATGAATTATGTTTTAAAGGTGTTCTGTGAGGATAAGAGGTAAGTATCAATATAAACCATGGACAAAAGAAAAATAGTTATTGGATGAGCTCTTGTATTACTCTTTAAATTAAAGGGACAGTCATCTCATTTCCTAGTTGGTCAGAGTATTGGAGGCGTGTGGAGACACTTTTTAAAATATTCCATTCCAATCCTTGTATTTACAGAGGTCGCTGGTGCTAGGCTAGCACATGTCAATGGTCATAGTTAGCCTGCCACTAAAAACAGTCTTACCCACTCCACAAAACACCCGAAGCAAATCTATTATTACGCCAGACTGTTGATGTAAATATCTGTGTTGATAGAATAATTTTAGAAGTAAAACCAACCTTGCATTTGAAGGAGTGGCAGGTTAACTATGGCCATTGACATGCACTAGCCTAACACCAGCGACCTCTGCAAATACAAAGACTGGATGGAATATTTAAAAAGTGTCTCCACATTTCTCCAGCACTCTGGCTAACTGGGAAATGAGGTCCTATGTCCAAAATTCCAAACTGTCCCTTTAAGTTCAAAATGAATAATAAGGTACATTTCATTGTCTTAGAGGTAGTAAAAATATTACCTTCAAGTCACTCAGAACACTTTATATTAAACAACCACTCACCAGTGTATACAGACACTGAGGGTGAGGCGGGTTAAGATTCTTGCCCAAGGACACAACAACAGTATTCTGTGGAAGCTGGAATTGCACCACCAACCTGTGGGTCAGTTAGTTTGACCACTCTACCAATGATGTTTTTATGTCAAGAGCAAGATTTGAACTGCCATCTTTCAAAGCAGAAGATAAGTCTTATGCCAACTAAAAAGTATCCTCAGGAGCTGTACCTTGGACTCCTTGATCTTGACAGCAATGACCTGTTTCCTCTGACGGATGATCTCCACCAGCTCATCACACTCCTCCACCAGCTTGGCTTCATGCATGGCAGTGTTCACCTGCACAATACACAACATACAACATCATGAGAGAGATAGATCACACATACTGTTAAGACATTATAATGCAATGTTTTATCCCTTCTGCTTATTGTTGCTGTCTGATTGAAGCCTGTGAAGTGTAAAATGGTATCATCACAGAGGAACACTTTGCAATGCGCTGAGCATCACAAACTTAATCAAAGATGCTGCTACCACCGTGTTCACCTGGATTAGAATCAAGCAGATGAAAAAACACATGTTGTCATTATTCAGTTGTCTATAAGCTGCTGCGGAGTCTGCCAAGCAAAAGATTAAAATACACTTTATGAATGAATAATACATTCTCCACCAAATGCATTATAGAATATATTTTTTTTGCAAATTGAGAATGTTAAAATGCCTCTTGTCTAGATTCACTGAGGTATTGCCAAGGTTTAATCGGTGATACTTTATATTTTAGTCTAAAGCTGCCGAGCTGTTTCCAAGTGCACTGCAAAGACCAATACAAATAGTGTATCAGAGAATATGTGTTTTTGTGTTACTACAGATCAATTCAGCATCTCAGAAAAAAAAAATCTACAAAAATATAAAATTGTGGTAAGAAACACTGAAATACTGAAACTCGGCAAGCTGTGCAGTTTGCTTTGCATGCTGCGTTTTCATAGTTGACAGAAGCCACTGCCGTTATGTATGCAGGGGCAGATGCATTGGAATGGAAAAAATATATTCTTCAGTATATTCCCACAAGATGAAGGAACACAGCAGGGTCTCTGGAGTCGTGCAAAATATCAATAGACACACAGCTGACAATTTCTTCAAGCTTAATTGGGACTCAAGATTGAACTGCTCTGAAGGCTGAGTAAAAGCTGGGTAAATTAGTCATACATGCCATTGTAAATCTGCCTTTTCAGGGATTTTCTACTTCAGCGGTAAATACTATATGTCACAAAACCCTATTTCACATAGTTAGGGAATCCACTGATCTCTTTACTGACTCCATGTGGCTAAAATAAGCATTGGCCCCATCACATAAAGTTCACAATCTTAATCATAAATCATTTAGTTTCTTCATTTTGTGATTATTATACAATAAGACAACTGAAATCTTTATTAATAATTTCAAGCAAATAGTCACAACATTCATTATTAACTAACTTAGCAATTCATTGAGTAATGAGGCCAAATCAAGAGCCTTTGAAACTGCGAGAGTCATAATTATCAAGGACAAAAGGTGAAGGTTTGCAAACCTTAAGAATATTAGTACTTCCTTCTTGTCATTTTTGGACTCTTGTAGTTTTTTCATGCAAACAAGTCCACAGACAAAAACTGTAAAACATAACTTCTGCTGGTGTAATTCCCTCATCTTACACTTTCTATTCTGTGGCTAACATCATATCCTGGCTCCATAAAGCTCATTAGATGATGCTGAGCCACTTAAGCCTCATTATTCACCCTCACACACTGTGCCATTCATTCTGTTAGAGCCCACTCATGACTGTGGATAACTAATTAAACAGGACAAATGCACAGGTCTGGGATTCAAATACAAACTTCATATTCACCTGACTCTAAAGCTGCTTATCGCTTTATTACCTGCCCACGCAAACAACAACACTGTCACCCCCAGCAATGGCTGGATCTATCAACCACCTCTGCAGAGGAACTTTGAGAAATATTACCAGGTGTGAAAAATAAAATAGTAGATTCAGTTTAAGATATTCCTTTGCATGAGAAGAAAAAATACATCAGGCAAGATACTTAACCAGCTTGCCTGTGTGAGTGTATAGAAATGATGGACAACACAAGTATCTGTCATTTTAACAAAACAAGTGTAAGTGAAGCTGTGTTTTAATATTTATGAGAGTCCTCTAACTCCCCAGGTATATTTGCAATTTATGTTTTCAGTTCACAGTGCACATTTTAAACACATCCAGAAGAATAGGTTGAAATATGAACAAAACTAATACAAGAATACATTTCATAACATGTTGTGGAGGTCTGAACTACTGGGTTAGGGTTTGTGTTTTGATAGTTGCAACAATTCAGCTAACAATTTCAAAGTTTTATACACGTCTAGAACAAATGCAGTATTGTATGTGTAAAGATTTGGGAGAACATAATAAGCTTAGTATGACCATCTTGTCCCCACTGATTTACAAGACCAAAACTGTGCACGGACTGACAGCATCATAACTCACTTTTTCATTATACACACATCCTCCACCTGCCACACTCCAGATGCTTTCAACATGGTTCATCCTGTGATGGAATCCAAAAGACATGCCACCAACGAGGTAAAATTGAAGCTGTTGCCATAGCGATTAACAACTTGAATCAAACTCTTGTGAACGGGCAAAGGTACACAGAACATCTTTACAAAACAGCTAAAAGTCATGTGACTGAAACCCATGAATACACTGATTGGAATAGTTCGTCTTTCTATGTGATAATGTGTTGACTTACAGCAGAAAGCTCAGTGTGTGTCTGGGCTTATCACACTTGCACAATAACATCACAGATTGAGGAAAGCACAGCAATTACTCGCCCACTCCTGCACAACAAATCCTAAATTGTTTTCTCTTAAAGTCAGAGCATGCTCATCTCCAGCTGACTGCATTGGTCACACGACAAGTTCAAACTATTGTGGAATAAAGAGTGAACAGAAATACATGCATATTAACAAAAATACATTTTCTAATAAACTAAAAAATGTTCCTCTAATTTTTAACACCTGAAAATTTTGTCATCTAGAAAACAATCAATATGGTTCAATTTGCCTGGGATCTAGAATACACACTTCTGCAGTACTTAAAGGGAAAGTTTAAAATTTTGGACATAGGGCCTCATTTCCTAATGAGCCGGAGTATTGGAGACGTGTGGAGACACTTTTAAAAAAATTCTATCCAGTCCTTGTATTTGCAGAGGTCGCTGGTGCTAGGCTAGCGCATGTCAATGGTCATAGTTAGCCTGCCACTAAAAACAGTCTTACCCACTCCACAAAGCACCCGAAGCAAATCTATTATTACGCCAGACTATCAATTGAATGTCTGTGTTGATTATAATAATGTTTGAAATAAAACTAACCTTGAATCGCATGAATTGTTGAGTGTTGAGGGACTATTTTCTCATATATCAGTCCGCCGCTGACAATCTTTCTATCAGGAAGTACAACTCGCTGCTGCTGCTCAGACATAAATCCTTCAAATGCAAGGTTGGTTTTACTTCTAAAATTATTCTATTAACACAGACATTCACATCGACACTCTGGCTTAATAATTGATTTGCTTCGTGTGTTTTGTGGAGTGGGTAAGACTGTTTTTAATGGCAGGCTAACTATGAACATTGACATGCACTAACCTAGAACCACCGACCTCTGCAAATACAAGGACTGGATGAAATATTTAAAAAAGTGTCTCCACACGTCTCAAACACTCTGGCTCACAAGGAAATGAGGCCCTATGTCCAAAATTTTAAACTGTCCCTTTAAGGAAGATGTGAGTCTGGTCACTCTTAAATCTGAATCGAGCTAATTGAAAGGTGATTGGTAGGTGCACAAGAGGACTGAAATAGATTACAGATTTCTGCAAAATCAATGAGTGATGCACTAAACTTTGCTAATCTGAGGAGAGAGAAATGCTATTATGCAAATGATAGATGGTCAGTGAGCTCCTTCATTTCACATGTGTCAATGAAAAAAAATCTGATTGCATGATCACGTTTGGTCTAGCTCACATAACATAATTGAAAAGACTGGAATCGGTCTGTATAAAAAATACAGAGAGATAGCATTCTGGATTTGCCTAATTTGAATACCTGCCTTGAATATACTATTATCTGATATATTATTAAGATTACATTGATAGAGCACTTAACCCTGAGTCAACATCGGGCACTAACACTGAGTCTGTTTTGTCAGTTATAAAATCTAAAATTATAAGATTATAAAGCAATTGAGAATGAAAGTTTAGCAGAGAATGAATCTTAGCCATGTGGCAGCTCAACTTATTTCTATACCAAACTTGTCCAGGACTTGTCCAAGAGTGCTCAGGGTCAAACATAGCACTTAACCTCTAGCTAAAACCAAAAGCTTCACACCTTGAATCAATTGCGTGTTCATTCCACTGCCTTCACTGGCTCCTGCTCCTATTTCTCTGTACATTGCCCCTCGGCTTTTCTATTCCAGCTCTGTGTGAACTGCCTCACAGCTTCAGCACCTCACAGACCACTCGCAGTAAATCCTGTATCTTCTTAACCAAACCAGGAAGTAGAGACAATGTTTTGAGTCGCTATCACATACATTTCTGAGAGAGATTCAAAACCTTTAGAGATGCAATAAAAGATGTCCATAATAAAAAAAAAAAAATGTGAGCGACTGAAAGAATCATGTTGATGTGGCAAAGAAATATAAAAATAAATTATCTATAAGTCTATAATAAGTTTACTACAACGTTTAGCTTGTTATGTTAATAATTGTTTTAGTGCTGGGAAAAAATAAAATAAATTATGGCATTAATCGCATGAGTTTGACTGCGATTAATCGCATGTTATACGCAAACCCAATTAATGAATTAAAAAGTAGTGAATAGCGCATTTTTATTGGAGATGTAAATGAAAGAGCCATACATTTGTTGTGCAAACAGCGTTTCTTTCGGAGGGGAACCCTCAGAGCCTTCAAGGTATTCTGAAGGCTCAAGAAAAATATTGAATACATTTTTGTACTACTATATTTTTTTCAATATTTTTTATTCAGTGAGTAATAAACACTACTACTAGTAATAATTTCTAGATCATTGTTATAAACTTGGACTGATATTTCTTGGGAAACAAAGGGTTAATATAATGGAATGGAAATGGCCAATCACAGTTTTTCTTCCAATGGTATCTGGGTAAATCAGTGACTGAGTATTGGACAGGATCATATCACGAAATCTTCCGGGCCTTCGTGAATACCTTGTAATAGTATTATGTAAGCGAAACCTCAGTGTCAAAAAACACACTGGACATCTCTATTTGGATGCCTCAGGGGTGTCTGGAAGAAGAAGAAAGACAAAGACCAGTCGGAGCTAGGAGCCCGCGGAAGCCCAGAACCCACGGCTGGTCCGGCCCGGCTGGAGCCAGAGGCTCGGACAAGTTGTATCTCATGTGGTTAGAAAAAAGTGAAAAAAGTGTAAAGAAAAGTCATCAAACTTAAAGAAATGCTTGCAGTGGACTTTTTCAAAATAAAAGCTTGCAAGCAACAGACGTTTACAATAAAAAAAACAACCACAAAAAAACAACAACATAAAAACTGCGTTGACGGCGTTAAAATAATTGTAGGCGATAATGAATGAATTAGTTAAGGCAAAATTAACACGTTAATGTGACCGGCCCTAAATTATTTATATGAATATGTATTCCATATATCCTCATAAGTATTTCAATAAAAAGCTTTTGTTTGGTCAGATCAAAATTATTAATGTTTTGATGACAAGGCAAAGAAAAATGTCCACTTTCTTGTCTCTATGGAGATGTTATTACTCTACTTGGGATGTTGCACAGTATTGCCAATTTGTGATTAGTACTATGCTTCTACACTGTGTTGCGTGTTGAGTTTTCTGATAAAAATGAGATAAATACAACTTCAATAAATATCATATTGAAAAGATGTCATTACTGAAAGCCAAGATGTTTATTGACAAAGAAAACCGACTGCAAAGTGCCAGCTCTTGATTATTATTTCCCAAAGTACACACAGAGTAAGCATAACAACTGTATTGGATTAGTATCAGCTAATGCAGATTAAAACAAACTAAAAATGGAAATATGTTTGTGCTATGATCACGACGCAGTGTATTTTGTGAGAAGCCTTACGCATCAGAACGCCATATGGCACCACCAGAAAAATAGACAAAAGACAAACAGAAGAATCTGGAGAGGAGGTAAAACGAGGCTAGAGCGCTGATGCAGGGATTAGGGGGCATCACAGGCATTCACAGTCCCAGCACAGAGCGATGGGCTTTGGTGTACATAAATGCAGACAGGTCTCTACTAATGGCTTAGAGCTCATTGTTTAATCAGGAGACACACGTCCATGCACTAAACCCAGCGGGCTTCTGTCAGAGTGACTTTTTTAATAACACTTTTAAATCTCTGATATTGGCACGTCTGCTGCCTGCTAATGTGGTTTCCCTGACAGACTGGTTTTTATTACTGCTAAAAGGTGTATTTGGAAAAAAGTTGGACATTTATACAACACAGTGGATAAGAGGAGCATTTATGGATAGGTAGGAACGGAAGTAGTAAATTCTGAGCAATAAACTGCAGAATTATGGGGAAGGTTTTGAATAAATGTTGCATCAGGGAGTGACATTTTTTGATGTTTTGAGTTCAATGTAGCGACTCAAAGGAACACTAATAGAGATGAGACAAATAGAATGATGTGATGTCGGCCACTGGCTTATTACAGACTGATAAATGCTCTTTCTCTTATTTGAAAATTATCAATAACATGCATTTGTTGTTAAAATATGAATGTAAATCACACAATACTTCTTATCTTCCTTAAATTTGAAAACAAATATGGCTTATAAATATAAGCAATATAAGCAATATATGTCTCCTTCAAGTATATTCTTAGTCTTATCTTTTGACATTTTGACATGTTTTATTGTTAAAGAAATAGTGCGAAACCCCCACTCAAACCTGGAATATTTTAGTTAACAATAATCTCACCAATGGTTTATTCAAAAGAAAACTACTTACTGTAACTTCCTTGTAAACTTATTTTTATATTGTTTAAAATCAGCTGCCCCCTCATTAAAGCATTGTTTAGTGTCTCCTTTTCTACGACTTTCTTTGAGTTACTTGAATAAAATCATAAAAACGTTTCTTCAGCCCTTGCACCCTCAGTGCAGCTTCAGAATCCCACATTCAAAAACAACCAAATATTGTTATAAAGAAGTTGTGCTGCTTTGAAAGACACATCCAGCTCTTCATCAATTCCAGCCGTCTTTTTCCTGAGCTGGAGGAGGAGAGCGCTCCCGGAGGAGAGAGAAAGGAACCCACTGCACCGCTGCCATGTGCTGACACACCGCTCACTCTGTGCTGTTTGATCACATCTCTGGCACAGATACAGTATGATGCAAACAAGAGGAAGAGGAAACCAGGTCATACTCACACAAACCTGCAGACTTTTTACTTTGCACATTGTTCTCTCAAATCATTTTATTATTTCCGATCTTCTACCTTTTCACAGTTTTCCAGAGTTGGATTTGTGGTTCCAGGCTATGCTCAAACTCAGTACCCTGCTGTTTCCTTCTGCTAACACGTCTTTTGAACAAAACATTTATTCTGTTAGATTTTTTTATGCTTATGGTGGTCTTCACTTCACTTAGCTCATGCATAGTTTACACTGCCACAATCAATTCCCCAGAAAAAATTATAATATTTAACAATAACAACCAAATTCAACAATTAATAATATATTAAGTGTCACTGTAAACAAATGCGTAGCATCAATAGACAATATAGACAACATAAAATACAACTTCTAGTGAGAAGAGGTAATGGCAACAAAAATGCATTGGTTTCTGTATTGGCAATGTATGTTGTCACATTTCAGATGACATTTTTGTTTTTGTCACATAATTTCAAAAGAAATGGGGGCAGGTACAATTTATCCACCATCTTGGCACATTTGCTATGCTTGAATGCCTCCTAAACAGCCTTCTCCACCTAATTTTCAGACACAAAAAGCACAACAAATTGTGAACATCAAATTATGATCCTCTCTCTTGATTTTTACAACTGATATACACCCTGATATAATGTTACAAATATCGCCTAGAAATTCTGGTTGCATCTAATAAATCATGGCCCCAATGGGAGAGTTTGTCTCCATGCCATCCGTCCTTATTTCTTTTTGATGAATAAATGATAAGTTGCTGTTGCCGCTGTGGCACGACTCTGTATGCGCACTGAGACAATGATGTTTTTTTCTTGCTTACTGATGAATGTTTCTTCTATTGTTAATAAATCATGCTGCAATCATTTCATTTTGATTAGCCGAAACTGTTGTTCATGGACCTTCGGAGCGCTTGGTGGAAAATACAGCTGGTGCTATCTAATAAGAACTGAACTGTGCATGGGGCATTTATTCTGGGGCCACCATTACTGTCAAATTGCACTGAGAAATGATGGTGGACATTAAGAGGGAAGGGTTTTAGAAGTATGTGTCACTGTGTATTCATGTTAGCGATGCTGCGGTAAGCATGAGCACCGTCTAGCCCGCTTGTACTCCTTTTTTTCCATTAAAGCACAGAATTGGCTCAAAACGAACAGGTCAACAGTGACAAGATTGGCGGAGGGTGTAATTTTCCGCAGACCGGTATGGGACGCAAGAAACACACCACTCAATGAATAAATCAACCTGAGTGAGTGCGGGGCAGAGCTGGTCTTTGAAACGTCAACTACACTCTCTCCTGGTAAAGTGGGTACTACTTGTATGATTATTTCTATCCGCTCATGTCACATACACACGTCTTAAAGCTGAAGTTCAACACAAGTAAGTACCCAGAAAGCAATGAAATCTGTCAAGGAATGGCCCTATCACGCAATACAAAATGCTGTGCTCCTAAAATGGAATCAAAGCTCTATCCATCACACTTGTTGGTTTTCATAGTCTCCTCTTTAGTTTGCAGCTTACTGTTTGTAAACATTTTGCTTTTCAATGTTTAATTACCAAGCTTTCATCATTCTGAAATCCATGGATCAAGATGCACAAGCTAGCCTTGGATGTGGCACTGTTCATAAACCTGGATCCATATCTGAACATATATGATTGAAACACTTTGATCAAGTGGTACCGATGCATTCAACTCCATTATACTTCTCGTAAAGAACCATAAAAGCAGCCTTACTGTGTGAAACTACTTAACTGTCTATTTTGAGATGATCAAAAATACCACCTGTGATTTAATATATTTTGGTCTTAAAAATAAAACTGTATTTTTTCTAAATTTCTGTCTAAATTACATAATGCATAGTTACTGAGTCTGAAACTGGTGACTGAGAGCCTCTCAATGTGGCTCTTTGTTCTCACTCAGTGTCTGGAGAGTTCAGGGCTCAAAAGGACAAGAGGTTACTCAGAATATAATACATGTCTTGTGCTCTGATTTGTTATTCTCACCACAGGTTTATTGTTCAGTTTAATAAGAAATGCATGAGAAGTGCCACTGCAAACAGCTGTGTGGAAACAAGTGGTGCTTACCTCTACCTGTTGACATATCTGGATGAGTTTGGCCATTTGGTTTTCCAGCTCACCATTCCTCTTCACCAGATTGGTCAGGTTATTCTCCAAGGTTTGCTGTAGACAAGAGGAACATATTATAAATGCTAATGGGAATCACAGTAAGGATAAACATATGCTCCATAATCAATATAAAAGTAACAAAAGTATTAAAGGGCCCATATTATGCCATTTTTGATCGATGTTATAATGCTGTTTCCTCGCCACAAATTTACCTGTGTTGTGTTTTGTTTCATTCACACATGTTTAGGACACAATCCCTGGGCTCTCAAACAAAACAAACTCTGTTACCATGTGATATCAGTGATACAGAAAGTGCTCCACTTAGTTTTTGAACTCCATACACGCTCACTCATTTGGATAATTTCCACCCTGCAATTGCCAATCCCTACTGAACTATGGATAAAAGGTAGCTGTTAACTTGAAACTACCACTTCATGGCATCACAAGGTCAAATAGAGCATTTTGAGCTTTGGGGATTAATAATAATGGATTACTCAAAGATATGTGAACGAAACAACTCCGGGTATGTTTTTGAGGAGGCAATAATATTAAAATGGCTTAAAGCTTACAAAAGTCAATTTTGTGTAAACAACAAGAGCAATAAATTAACATAATATCAATGCAAACAGTGTATTATTGTGGCGTGCAGGGGTGCAATATTTTGTTAGCAACTGTAATGGTGTCAAGCAATTTTCAACGAGACAGACTTGTGAAATACAGTATACTTGTAAAAGTGCATTTACAAGTGAGGTTTGTGTAATATTGTGTAGTGAAAACTGTTGATGACTGTGTATCTGATTTGAATAAACCTACATTATTAAAATATTACTCTGACTTATTATAGACTGTGTTGTGTACATTGTGCAACAAAAGCATTTTTATTTTATTTTATTGAGAACATTTAATCAATGTCAAACTTTAAAGCTGTGCCTTCAGGCTTCTCCATTATATTACATTGTTGTATTGCTTTACATTACCCATATTGAGACAGTGCAGCTTTGATTAATAGTCCAAGCCAATGTACCACTAGACTGTGTCCGGTGATTAAAACTAAAGACTGATTGAGTCCATTCTTTCAGTGGCCTCAGGGTCAGTGTATAACAATATTCAATCCCAGCCAAATGATTGTACAGCTGCGAATGAGAACGGACAACTTTTAATAATACAGTGAAGCATGACTGCTGTTTTTGGTTGGGGACCAACAATTGAACTTGGCAATATGTCTATGCAACTGCCATCATACATAGCAGGGTTCATAATAGGACAAGACAAACAGTGTTCTTGTATATAAAAGTTCTGATATTTTTTGACAATCAGTGAACAAATTTCTACGCTAAATTTAAAGTTACTGATTTGCATAACACACCTGGACACATTCAAACCATTAATACAATTACATCAAAACCAGACCCGCTTCACCTACTTGGACAAAGTAATGATCAAACAGTCATTATTGTCTTAACAGTGAAATGTAAAACCATATACAAAAACATAAAAAGCACACTCGGGCACATCACAAAAAGATAAAAGCTAGGACCAGGCACACAAAGTCAGGAATAGCACTGGCGTTTATGTGAAGCAAATCAACAATGGCTGTAACGACGGGCATCAAAACAGCAGCAACAAAAACACAGCTGTGCAGAAAAGAGGGACAGAGAGGCAGAGGAGTGCGAGGCGCGTGTTTGAAGTGGGTCTACTCATGCAACTGAATGAGACGGGGCACCTGGAGAGGAATGGGGAGAGAAGCCCAAAGCTACAGTGTGGAGGGTTTGAAACGGCACACTGTCTGGTGGTATATTCATATTGATTTAATATAGAAGCAAACACTGTTTCTTGTGACTAATTTAACAATTTCTGCAAGTTTCAGTTTACTCTGTGCATTTGCTGTCTTGTTTGTGTTTCTATTCTCTTTAGGGACAGACCATATTATATCGCTAGTGATATCTTGTGAGATTGCACATGCACTGCAGCTGATTTTGGTTGTGAGAGGAGCCAGGCAGACATTGTGGATAATTGCTACAGCTAAAGCCTAAAGTGACTTAAACACAGACTGTCGAGACTCTGCAGAGGCTCTAATAATGAAAGAGATAAGATGTGAGGAGTAGAAAAAGGTATACCTTAAATAGCCCGAAACAAGAACAAATAACTTAAAGTCAACGTTTAGTGGCCTTGTTATTAGGAATCTTACCTTTTAAATAAACATGAATATTTTAGGTCATTTCACCCTGCTGTAATTCTATTGCATTCAGACATAGCTGATTCAACCATGAAAGTCTGTAGCCTAATATACAGATACTACATTTTCTTTGAATTTAGGTGAACAGACAATGCAATTAGATCTTTTTTCAAGCAGGTTGGATGGACAAAGGCTGGATTTTGGACAGGCATAAACTGCACAGTTACTTATTACTCCTTGTGTCTGTATTATTACACAGGAATAGTTTGGTGTATTTCTAAGATGGTATGGCTTAAGGATGTATACCTATATTAGTTACCTTTCTTTAATCATGCAGTGATTAGGTCTGTCACGACAACTGTATCAACTTATCATTCAGTATAAGTTACATGGAAGAAGCATTTTTGGGGATCAGTATTTTGCGTGCGTACTTTTACTTTGTTCTTCATTGTTTTTCTATACTATGATTACATTACATATTTGTTAACAATATTGTGCATTTAGAATACTTTTTGGGGGATAATGCCAATTGCTTTATTGTTTGGTTTCAATATTTACTATATTCAAAATGTGTTATCGTGACAGGCCTACCAGTGATTTTATGTCATCTGCTTGATTTGAAACAATGGGAATATTTTCAGTGCTGCCTAACACTGAAGTTGTTTGTCTTACTAATTAAAATCCTTATTGCTTCCTGTCAAGGCCATGGTGAGCGGGGAGAGAGAGGGGGGTGGAGAAGGCGACCAGGGAACTCACCGCAGCGCTTGTCTTTGAAGCCTCCAATACTGCCTCTGACACTCTGCCCGGGCTCTGATAGGCCTACGGATACACAATCAACACCCAGCATTAAAAACACACTCTTACAAAAGTTTGTCTGGCTGACGCTGCTAATCAGACTTTCAATGTCCGTCTTACAAACTTATTAGCAATACTTTAATCTCTGTTGCTGTAGTACTAGTAGGGCTGCACTTTTTTTTTTTTTTTTTTGGCAATTATGATTAGATTTACTATGTATATTTAAAAAGTAGGATTCAGTTGGCCGTACACACTTTAGGAGCATTAACATTTCAGAAAATCCCATAATGACTTGATTTCATTTAGATGTCTAAAATACAGATACAAAGAAACCAAAAGAGGATATTTGTTCAGTGTTAAAGAAATTCTACAAACTGCTGGCTTTGCAATTTGAAAATTGCTCCAACTCAAATCGCGATATAGTGTTGAGCCCTACAGGTGCTGATGCATTGCTTTGTGCACATGGCTGAATTTGAAGAGTAACGCCAGTGCAAGGGGACAGACAGATGGGTGATTAATTAGCAAGCTGGAGATGAATCTGATGAATATATCTCGACACAGCTGGCTCCTAGGGGACCGAAGTGCAACGTGTGCGTCCTTTTCATACGCACATCTATTTCATCTTGTCCTTTCAATATTTATGATAGCGCTAGTAGGCCAAAGATGCTAAATAGATCTGGTCACTTGAATTAGCTCTCACATGGCAGGCAAGACAGACTGACATAGGGAGTAACTAGAAACAGCCAGCGTCAACAACAATTCATTATAAAACATACTTCAAAGTGAGAACCAGAAATAAACAAGGAGAGGGGAGTCTGTGAGTGACAGTGAGTGCATGCGGATTGATCATAATGGAAAGAAATCCTGTAAATGCATTTACTTTATTTTCCTGTGCCATGTGCCATACTTTTAATTTCATGAATAATACAACTTGGAGAAGGAGTGAACTAGAAAGATAAAATAACTTGAAGCAGATGGCACTCATTGGTCACAACTCCACGTTTGCTCTATGTAGCTTTCTGTCTGGACCATAGACTGTATATATAAATGGATATCGCTAAACTGCTAGCCGCTGCTTTCCAAATGGGAAGTGAGCATAAGGGTGCTTCCAACACTACTTCCAACAAAACTTCACATAAAAGTCAACAAAAACAGAAGAAACAGTTACATAAATATATATACAGATAACATGTGAAAGCTACAATAAGAATCAAGATAATCTGACTAGCTAGTACTCAATGCCAGAGAGAAAAGGTGAGTGTTCAGTCTTAAACTGCATTACAGACTGAGAGGATCTGACATGAAGAGGAAGGCTCTGTCACCTTTTGTCTTGAGCCTAGTTTTGGGCACGACCAACAGGAGCTGGTCGTCTTATCTCAGGGCTCTTTGCGGAGTATAGGTCTGCAGTAACTCCCTCAAACTGGACCCATAGACAGTGTTGGGAAGGTTACTTTTAAAATGTATTCCCCTACATATTACAGATTACATACCTCAGAATGTAGTTTGTAACATAATCCATTAAATTACTTAAAGTGAGTAACGTAATCTGAATACTTTGGATTACTTGATTTGCTGTAGAGAAGCAAAGACGACAATATCGTAACATAAGAAGTTTTGTCTGCTAAAAGACAACGAAAAGCCAAGACTTTATTTAACCGTATTAAAAATATTACTGATAGAAGACGAGGAGACATGGTCCGAGCGGCATGGTTTACTCCTGTTTTGGTCCTGTTAAATCCTGTTTTAGACCTGGTTTAAACATGGTTTAGACATGGTTTAGACCTGGTTTAGACCTGGTTTAGACCTGGTTTTAGTCCTGGTTTTAGTCCTGGCTTAGTCCTGGTTTAGTCCTGTTAAATCCTGTTTTAGACCTGGTTTAGACCTGGTTTAGACATGGTTTTAGTCCTGGTTTAGTCCTGATTTAGACCTGGTTTTAGTCCTGGTTTTAGTCCTGGTTTAGTCCTGTTAAATCCTGTTTTAGACCTGGTTTAGACCTGGTTTAGTCCTGGTTTAGACCTGGTTTAGACCTGGTTTTAGTCCTGGTTTAGTCCTGGTTTAGTCCTGTTAAATCCTGTTTTAGACCTGTTTAGTTTAGTCCTGTTTCCTGGTTTAGTCCTGTTAAATCCTGTTTTAGACCTGTTTCAGACCTGGCTTAGACCTGGTTTAGACCTGGTTTAGTCCTGTTAAATCCTGTTTTAGTCCTGGTTTAGACCTGGTTTTAGACCTGGTTTAGACCTGGTTTTAGACTTGGTTTAGACCTGGTTTAGTATCCAGCAATGAGTGGAATTATGACAGAAAAAAAAGAAAAAAGGGGGGGATATAGCCCCAAACGTAAAAACAGAAAAATACCACAGTGTAATCCATTTATTTCAACAAAGTAACTGTAATCCAATTACCACTCATTCAAACAGTAACTGTAACTGAATACAGTTACTCATAATTTGTACTCTGATTACGTAACTCCAGTACATGTAATCCATTACTCCCCAACACTGCCCATAGAGTGCAAACATTTGAAAACAATTAATAGCATTTTAAATTGCACTTTATATAAGACAGGGAGCCAGTTCAGGTTGCACAGCACAGGTGTGATATGTGTTCTCGTCTCAGTATTTGTCAGCAGATGAGCTGCAGCATTCTGGACATGTGTAAGCGCTGCAGGAGCCTGGTCCAACCCTACATACAGAGAATTGCAATAGTCCAGGCGCGATGTTTCAAAAGCATGGATAGCTTTTTTGAAATCTGCCTGTTGGGAGGTAGTCCTTTATTTTAGAAAGGAGGCTCAACTGAAAGAATCTGGACTTTATCACAAAGCTAATGTATTTGTCCAGTTTGAACATAGAGTCCACAATCACCCCAAGATTCCTTGATGCAGGGAGACAATAGGAGGACAGAGGACCAATCACACTGTCCTGTCCAAGCAGTGACTTGGTTTGCCCAAACACCACAATCTCAGTTTTATTTTGATTTAAGTTCAAGAAGTTTGTAATTGTAACATTTTTTAAAATGTTCATATAAACCTGATGCACATGATCCTGGTATTTTTAAGTCACTATTTTGTCAGTAAATAAAGTTCTATTCCTAATAGTGCTGTCATGCGAATAAAAAAATTGAGAGATTAATTAATTATGATCTGTAATTAATTAATCTAATTAATCTCTTTTTAATCTCACCTAAAAATTGCTGAGAAAAGCCTTCAATTTGAGGTATTTTCATTTAAATTCATTATTACACTATTGTGGCAAATCAAAAGACTGATATAGAACAAAAAAAAGTGACTTTATAAAGTCATTTACTGTTTAACAAATCTCTTCAAATTGTCTGTTGAGCCCAAGTCTCCATGAATAAGAAACTGTTTGCTGTAAAGTAGCAAAGACGAGGAAATCTGAACATAATAACTTTTGTCTACTTAAAGACAATAAAAAGTCCAGTCTTTCCTTAACCATATTAAAAATATTATTGATAGAGAAATGCTTTATATATGAGATCACTGGTTTTAGTCCTGGTGTTAGTTCTGGTTTAGTTCTGGTTTAGTCCTGGTTTAGTCCTGGTTTAGTCCTGGACTGGGTTAGTCCCGGTTTTAGTCTTGGTGTTAGTTCTGGTTTAGAGGCGCACAGGAGGAAGCGCGGTTTACGCAGCGTACACGAGAAAACGTACGCGGCGCACGGGAGGACAGCGGTGTCCGCGCAGTAACTACGGAAGGAAACGTGGCCCGTGCGTTCTCAGGTTAATGACGATGATGAAGGTGTGTGTTTGTGTTTGTGTGCGTGTCCCCTCATGTGGCAGGACAGTAGTGCAGACATCATGAGCCTATGCAGGTTGTTTTCACCAGTGACATTTAAGTTGTAGGCGATTTTATATTTGTTATTTTCTTTTATATCTCATGTTGGGAGAAGAATTTCCAAGACACGAATGTGTTTTTACCTGTGCACTGCTGCCTCTGTTCTACTGGCTCTTCGACGTCGTCCATTGTGCGACTGACGCCGCCAACGTTAACATGATGTTTACATTGCTCATACTGCACGCGTTTTGTGTGGGTTTCCGGCAATGAGTGGAATTACTGAAATAAAAAAATTTATAAATGTGTTTTTTTTGTTTGTGTTGTTGTCCCAACAACACATAAAAACAGGTTTTATAGTAAAGCAACTCGCAAACAGAAACAGTAAAGTTAGAGATTGAAAACGAGATTAACGCGATTAAAAAACATAACGTGCTAAATATGACTGTAATTAATTAATCGCAATTAACGTGATAATTTGACACCCCTAATTCCTAATATGCAACTCGACTTCAAATACGCTCCTATAACTGCTAGCCTCGTGAGCTTCATTTGACTGGAATCGAATGCTATGAGTGACGTAACATCTCCTATGGTCTATGTATGGCCTATGGTCTATGGTCCGCACTCCTGTTTTGCAAACCAATCATCCTGGTATACCACTTTGCCATCTAAGATTATTCCACATTTAAAGAGCAAATGATCAACCAAATCAAATTACTTGGCTACTCATTTATTATTATTATTATTATTTTTCACATGCACTTACTATTACTGGAGTAGGAAATGGGGTTTAACTATTCTTACCTAAAGAACAATATGCTCATCGACACTAAAGCTGAATGTTTATCGACAGCTCCAAGTCTTATGGTTTATATTGTGGTCTGTTCAAAAGAGACTAGAGCTCTGTAGGATATAAAAGATTGTCTGGCAGAATAATTACTTTCACAGACACAACAGATTGCCTCCACCACAAAATGGAACCCTCAGGCCAACTATTTAAATTTAAATTAATTAGGTATATATTATTATGCATGAGTCCCAAACACGAAGAAGAAAAAAAGCAAAGGGATTAAACTTGAGAAAGACCCATAGAACAGAACAAGCTCAATTTACAGCTGTGGTTAACAAGAAGCTTTTGAGAGTGGCGGACGTGTCTGTAACTGGAGCCTTCTGGGAAACCCTTTTGTGTGTGTGTATATGTGTGTACGCGTGTGTGTGGATAATATTCCATTGGGCAGAAGTT